AAAGAGAAGAAGGAGCAGCAGCCAGCACAACCTCTGCTGCTATGTATATTGTGCTTGCTTTAAGTTTACGTCACCTCTTTTTATACGATAAGTATACAAATGGCATTAAAAAAGTGTGAAATTATAAATCTTAGACTTAAGAGTTATGGTCAATAATTTGTGGTTCAATTATACAAGAGAGAGAGAGAGAGAAAGTGAGTAAATATGATCGTGGAAAATGAATTATGAAGTACACTGTATTATATAGTATTAACAGCACGTAGAAAGAAATTGAAATTAATGTAGACAGAATTTGTGTGTCTTTCTGTAAGTGTTTGGACGGTTATGAAGTTCATTTTTTGTCCTGTCTTTTCCAATCATCAGCATTATATATTCCATTTCGAAAACCCTGTATCTATGTTATTTTTAATTTAAATTCTGTTCAGGTCAAATCTGACTTACTTTCAAGAAATATGTTTCTTGTTCACCTGGTTTATAATGTATCAAGTATTACTCTACAAATTTATATCTTTATTTTATCTTCCACACTGCAATAATATTCTTATTAATCGTCACCCGCTGATTTCTAAACGTCATATTTCATAGCCATGTAATATTTCCCCTATACTCATCTTTCTTTTTAACTCAAAACCTGACATAGGCTATAATCATGAAGTCCCCAAAATCCGCTTCCTGGTATAAATTGCACCTCTTCATTACCCTCTACCAATTCCACTGCTCCTGTTTTCACTCCTCGGCCATCTCTATCTACCTATATACCAGACCTCGAGGTCTGCTCAGTCTCAGGATGCTCTCTGGGCCGCTTCCTCGAAAGGGACAGACGCCTCTTTAGGAACACAATCAGGAAGTTTATTCATGAAAGTGTTCACAGTTCCAATTCATTGTTTGTACTTGCACTTCGCTATTTTATTTCATACAGCAATTTTACACCGGTCAGTTGTTGTATGCACCATTTCCTCACATGCCATTCCAATTTAGCTTGGAAAAGCTGCTTTAGCTTATCTCATCAAGGTCCAACATTCGCAAATCGCAAGACAGAATATCAAAACCTATATACTCTCTTCTCCCGTATCTTCTCCCGTATCTTCTCCTACTTGACGATTGGCAAATTAAAGTCGACATCAGGATGGGATTGTTGTACATAACGTGGTTTTGACAAAGTTCAGATACGGACATAGCAAAAGCAACATAGAGATATCACTTGAACGGCGCAAACTTCTTAAGATGGAGTCAAAATCTGCGCTCATTCATCTTCTCGTCATCGTCCTCGGTGTGATGATTTCTTCATCACTCGCTCTCGTCACGGATGATCCAAACGTATGCAGTATTAACAAATCGTGAGTATAAATTTATCCTCTGTCTTTCTAATCGTGAACCTAATTTGTATCGTCTTAACAGTCTATATTGTTTCATAGTAACGTACAGTTCTATATATGTAATCTTTATTTAAACAAATCAGGGTTGGATCAACTAATACCACTCCCATGTCGGTAGTCTGACCGACGCAACAGCAATGGAGATGAATCTGGAGCTCTTCAATCTAAGTATAAACTTAAAATCGAATCCAACGGCTTTTCCTAACCATGCCAACCATTTACGTGGAGGTGTCGGGATCTAGTGGTTCATTCAATTGACTCTCACTGCAAGGATTGAGGGTTCGAGTCCCAGTCCGGTACTAACATTGTTTGGCATGATATTAATCCACATTTGCCACTCTCCACCCAGGTGCTAAATGAGTACCCCGGTATAGGATGCAAAAGGCAATTGTAATTTGCTCAACATTGTGAGCGTCTGTAATATGCAGCCTAGTTGGATTGCTCCAAATCAAGCCTTTGGTTATTTTCATTTCATTATTGTAAGTAAATTGTATAAGTAACTGGAGGGTGGCTAATGCAAGGCGAGGCTCTAACTTGCAGAGAACAAGACGCACAACTTCAATCCATGCTTGCCTGTTGGGGGAACTGCCTGGGATTATGCATGCTTGCAACCTCAGGGGTTTATTTGCATATCTATATTTACATGTATATCAATTTTGTATCAGAACTGTAAATAATACATATTCAAATAACAGAGCTTGTAAATAAATGGAGGTATACGAATATACGTAATATATGTGCATATAAATGAGGTGCTATCAATATTGAATCAGAGCTTAACCAAACACACTGGAAATAACAAACTACTGAGCCATGGGATGAACATGAAAGGAGGAGTGAACCTAGCATGACAGAAGGTAAAGGGAATGATGATGGCGATGATATGTAATGGAAAGAATAACATGGACTTTGATGAAAGAGGGATACAATAAAACAAATGGGTAAATAAGATGGCTATATACATGCTACAATACAAAGTTCTGTTCAAAATATAGCTCTACAGTTACAATCAAATATTCCGGTGAACAGACTTTCTGAATGCACTATTTTATACTTATGAGAGTAGGCTGGTATAGCTCATGTCTTCTGATTTGATTTCAACGACACGTGTCCCATTGTGATCCATAACATGCGATTAAATTGCTCAATGATTGCTAATTACTGTTTAAATCTATCACCCCAACACGTTGACTTATCTTCTTTCAGGTACTCTGTATACTATAGTGACACAATCGTACAATCTCACATCCAGCGATACGAAGGGAGGTGTGATTTTATGTTGGGAATGATGGTCCCTTGTACTTATTACAGGTATGGTACATTGTCTTGCTTGCTGAATACTATACGGTCATAAAAAGAAATCGCCGCCCCTTCATGTACGTAGTTTATGCAGTCAAAGTCTATAGCTTCAATGAATCCGCGGTCAATATCTTAAAACTGAATTCCTAACTTCAGTCCTGAACCTAACACTACACGTACACCTAAACCTGACTCTAACATTAAACCCATAAACCTCAATTGACATCCTTACCCTAACCCTCTAGTTTTGAAGAAATAAATCACAAAGATTATTGCTGAAGGAACCACCGTACAATGCGTATGAGCAAATATCCAGGATTTGTTAAAGGGGGTGTTTAAGATAGTGGCGGATCCAGCATATTCCGATAGGGGGGGGGGGGGAGAGGGCCCTGTTGTTGTTTTTTTTTTTGGGGGGGTGGGCAAGCACGTAGCTAGGAATTTATTTTATGGGGGCGGTAGTAAGCACACGAAGCGTGCGCTTCGCGCTCCCTAGGGGTGGGGCAGGGAGGCCACCCGCGCAAAGTGCGGAAGCTTTGACGAAGATTTGAGGGAGGCAGAAAGGGGACAATTTTTAGAACCTTTTGCTAATGGAAGTTAAAATTGTGCACTTCAAGTTCATATTTTCTTCATTGTCCGATTAATATCAGTTCTATTTCACAAGCTCGTTACTCAGATGTTTGTACTTCCAAGCAGGCGATTTTAATATGACGCCTCAGTTCGACTTCAAGTGTAAATGTTTCCCCCCCCCCCCCCTCCCCATGAGCAATATTTATTTTTTATTGACGCACGCGTGATTATTATAAAAAAAAAAACTGTTCTCGTGATTTTTTTTCTTTTTATTTGGATATCCATAGAATGGTTTACAGGATAGTCGGAGTTCGAGCAAGTCGTCAGGTAACTCGTTCAGTGCTTCTGTGTTGTAATGGTTGGCTCTATTCCAATACGACGCATATCTGTGATACCCGTAAGTTACAACATCTTCACTTCTCTTGCCATTGGCACAGCATAGTGGTATATTGTCAGAGGCTCTTAAGAGAGGTCTAGGGATCGATCCTTGCCCGGTGCTCACATCTTTTGAAAAGATGTTATACCCACAATCTGTCCCTATCGACCCAGCTGAATTAACGGGCAATATACCGGGGTTATAATAACTACGCAGCAGTTATGATGCTTTTGTGATTATGTAAGTTTGATTTGTATCTTTGAATGTAAACCATGCATGTATACCTAATAAATCCTCTGATGAGGCAATGAAGAAAAAAACTGTTGAATACTGCATCCCTCGGTACTATATTATATAGTAAGACCATCATTTTGTTAGTGTTGTGAGATTTGAACCAGTGTGATTCGTCAATCAGATAGACTTTCTGTCATCAAGGCGAATGAAAATCGTATAAGCCCTGCCTTGATACATAGAAAACTCGATAAAATGAATAAAACAAAAGAATCTATGATTAGATGAAAATAAAATTCATATGGGCCACAATTACACATGTAGTTATTCGGCCCAATATCCTTGGTGAATAACAAGGTTGTTGATTTAGGATCGTATAGCAGTCATCGATTTCTGAAATCAAATTGTATAAGATAATCTATTCCTACACTTTCCTCCTGGGTAATATAGAACCGAACATTACAAGAACTCGACCGCAAATATTATGTAGATAAATCAGTCTTTAAACACATGGTTTTATGATTTTCAAACTCCATCCTATAAAATAGAATTTCATGTCACATTGTAATACAATTATATTGTTTTTAAAACATGCAAATAAAGATCATATTGAAGTAAAACTATACTATAGTGTCTTGTTTGGTCATTTGTTTCAAAACCAGAGAGGGAAAGAGGAAGAGAGAGAGAGAGAGAGAGAGAGAGAGAGAGAGAGAGAGAGAGAGAGAGAGAGAGAGAGAGAAGGGGGTGAGAAAGAAAGAAAGAAAGAAAGGAAAAAAAAAAGAAAGAACGAACGGGAAACGACAGATAGATAGATATACCGAAGAAAAAAATTAGTCAATAGGTAAGAGCCATTTCCCGATCGGCGGAGGGCCAGCTTCCACCACAAAAACCGCGCGTGAAATTGGTGTGATCATAAATTCGAAGCGGGGTACAGGTCTGTGTTCGCCTTTTCATCAAGCTCAGTCTCTCTTTTTCTAGCTCTCTTGTGCTCCAATTTTTTTTTTTTTTTAATTCTTTTGTCTGTCTCCGTGCTGCTTCATCATATTTATCAGTTCATGTATTTTGTGGACTTTTCTCCTCTCGTGAAAATAATAATCTACATAATAGTTCGTAGTTCTGATTATCGTAAATATTGTCATCTTTTATTACAGCCTTGTGTGATCCCGTATGCATCGAGGGCCATGGTGTTTGTACGGCGCCCGGCAACTGTTCCTGTGGTCCTGGTTTCGTCGGGTCGCGATGCGAGCAGACGTGTCCTCCGGGTACTTTCGGCCAGAACTGCAGCGAGAGCTGCTCTTGTGCTGGTGATGGTCCTTGCCATCATGTTACAGGGGAATGTACGTGTTCACCGGGGCAGATGGGTAAGATTGATCATGATCGCTCCTGTTTAACCCAGGCAGTTGTAAATGCCTACTTGTAAATGTAAGATTGAACTCTAATAAACATGGGAAATAAATGAATCAATTTATAGTTGATAAATTGCAGGGAAAACATGAGAGGCACAAATAGGGAAACTATGTCTTGGGAAGGGTTAATAGATACAATCAGAGGAGAACTTCAAAAGAATGAAAATGATTCAAACTTATAGTTTATCCAGGGAGATGTGAGTTCTCCCTGGTATAACCTTCTTCTTCTTGGCTTGGCTTCCTCCAGTTTGGAGAACTGCAATTGGTGCAGGTGTTGGTAGTACACATATAAAAAGGATAGGTAGGTTTATAGGTGGCATCACATATATGAAGTGGAACGTTTAACATGGAGGTCAAGTATGAAACTGAGAGAGAGATTGTGAAAGAGTGAGGGGTTGATCCAGTCGGAAAAAGAGGTGTGAGAGCAGGAGCCAAGTAGCGATAGCTTTGTTTGTTAAGCATTCACCCTTTGTTTTCGAGTTGGAATAATAATGGCTCTCCCAGCATCTTGGCCAGTGAGCTATGAAGTTGTCTCCGAGAGTAGTGTAGAGAGGGCACTCAGCCACCGTGTGGATGATTGTCTCAGTAGTTTCTCCACAGGCACAGCAGGAGGATTTTTCTGGGTTGATGGTGTGTTTACGATAGTTGGTGGGGTATACACCACTCAGTAGCTGCGCCTTGATGGGAACTGCCTGTCTCGGTCTAGGTGGGTGAATGGTTGATGGAAGAAGTTTGTGCGCTTGGTTAAGGTTGTTGGATAGGAGCTGTAGAGTAGACTTTGAGTTTACAGCTTCTTCTGTGAGGTCAGCTCTCACCTCTTCTACGGCATTTCTCACCATTTGAGTGGTAAGATGGAGAAAGCGTGTTTGAGAGGAAGAGCTATAAAAGGGGAGAGAGAAAGATTGATGATAAATTGTCATATGTAGCTGTGACATACCTGGAAAGGGACCTGCTATATATCTAAGCATATGGCATGACAACATAGGGGCAAAGTGAATATCAGTCACAAATTGGAAGAAGCTACAAGGGGGGGGCAGAGATGTTTATTGGAATACCCCCCCCCCCCCCCTCCCCCAGACCTTTGCTGATGACTGTTTTAATATAAGGAACCAGTGTCTGTTAAAATCCAGAAGATACTGTTTTTAATCATGAGTTGACAGTTGTTCTCAATTTACACCAGTTGATAATGTCTATCTATATACATCCATTTGTATTGTTACTATTGTATTTTATGATAACAGGAGTGGACTGCAATGAAACATGCCCAGAAGAGACGTACGGTGCCAACTGTTCATTCTCCTGTCTGTGTCGTAATGATACCACTCAAACGTGTAATCCTGCTAATGGGCTTTGCCATTGTAAGCCTGGGTGGACAGGTTCCATCTGCAATGAGACCTGTCCATCAGGAACATATGGACCAGGTAAGGAGATATTCTCTTTAATCCCCATGACTGTCCTGGTACTTACCGGGTAAGAACTTTCTCCATTTATTGTCGCTTTCGTCATCAGCAACAATGCATGATCTTCAACTTTGTTACGATAATCGACATCATTGTTATGATTATCATCATCAACTGTCAGCATCATTATGAGTATCACTGTTGTTGTCATCAACTTCATTGTCATCATCATCAATTTCATCATGTCTTAATAATAACCATCAGTTGGTATCATCATCTTCATTATCATCGCCCTCATCATTTTCATTATCATTGTCGTCGAAGCAATCATTTTCATCTTTGTCATCATACATATTGACATTATCATCATCGTCGTATTAATCATCATTTCTGCCATATTGACCTCTATCATTTTCATGAAAGTTTTTATTATCATTATCCGACACTGATGGTATTATGAAGTTTTAGGCTCAATGATCTATTCAACGACTCCCTCCTTTGGTTTAGCGTATCTACGCTATTCAATAATTTGCTCTTTTCATATTGGTCATCTTATCAACTCTCATATTGTTACTACAGATTGTAGTCTTCAATGCTCTTGTTCTCATGGAGGTACATGCCAGGCATTGAATGGATCCTGCATCTGTGGAACTGGATGGACTGGCCTCCGATGTGACACGCCGTGCCCCGCTGGGTCTTACGGACCAGGATGCCAACATCAATGTGGTTGTGCCAGTGGAGGATCATGCGATCAGTTTACAGGTATGGCAGTTGTCGGCAAGATGTAGAGGTCTTTTAGTGTCACCTTCTAATGACATTTTATTATAATTTTTTGTGGTATGGTGGTTCATTCACTTGACTCCCAGGGGTTGAGGGTTTAATTCAGCCTGGCACTAAAAAGTTCTTTTGGCAAGGAATTAATCCCTGTGACATTTGTCACTCTCCACCCAGGTTTAAATAGGTACCTGGCAATTGCTGGGTCATAATAATTGCAGGGCCCCGGGGGAAGAATAGCATTAATGCTGATGATGCTTCCTTGGGTAAATAAATTTATTTATTATCATATTTATTTCTTGTGTTGCCAAGTAGATTTGAATACATACAGAAGTTTATTAATATTAAAGAATGAAAAAACATCTTATTTCTTTACCTATATACGTAATAAAACATTTCATAATGAGATTGTGCCTATAAAAAGCATACATCATGCCATAACAATTACAATTTGTTTTATTTATATATAAAATTTGGAAAAATAGTAGCAAGTGAACACAGTTCCTTTCCAGGCATTAAGTATTTTAGATGTAGCATAATAGATTTTCTCAATTTAAACTTGTCTTTAAAATGAGTCTTCATTGACAGTAGGAAGAACATGTGCTCTTTAGCTATAATAATGCTGTATTCTATTCAGGACTGTAAATTAGCTCAATTTCTTTGGATATTTATCTTGATTCAAGGATTATGTACATGCGGTGTTGGACTTCAGGGACCTCATTGCAACGAGACGTGTGATCCTAGGTTCTATGGACTGAACTGCATCAATCGATGTACCTGTGAAAATGATGGCATTTGTGAACCTGTGAATGGTAAGTGAGAGTCTCACTCTTGCCAGAAATTAGAGATAGTATGAAATAGGAGTCTTTCAGATGAAATCTAATATTTGTAAAGTTGGTCAAGACCTTGATGAGCTTTTTATTGCAAACTTCCAGTAGTTTCTTGGTTCCTACTCCTCATTCTTATTATGCTTTTTAAGCTAATGTGGTTTTCATCGGAAAAGTTTGTTCTCAAATCAGTATTTTAAGATACAAATGCTGGTCCTATACACCATACCATCTCCATTTACTTCACTTTTTTGTACTGAATGGACATAACGGTCATGATCCTTTTTTTTATGTATGTCCATTAAAATAAAGAAAACATTTCATTTTAAGAATAACACTCTTCTCATCTTACACATTTCTTTTGGCAGGTACCTGTAAGTGTGCAACAGGATGGCAAGGGGAGTCATGTGACCAGCCATGTCCGAGAGGGAACTACGGAATCAACTGTCAATCATCGTGCCTCTGTCGTAATGGCGGATCGTGCCATCACATAACAGGATTGTGCACTTGCTCTGCCGGATTCACGGGGACCACGTGTGAGAGCCGATGTACGGAAGGGACCTATGGAGTGGGATGTTCAGAGAGATGTGAATGCCAGAATGGTGGTAACTGCAGCCATGTGGATGGTAGCTGTTCATGCTTGGAGGGCTATAAAGGCATCTTCTGTTCCATTATATGCCAAGGTATCTATTGCACTTAGCTTTGCACTGTACCCTGAAAAGCTTTGTTGCAGTCATTATTAATTTCCTTCTGGCTCCAAACAGAGGATATTGTTACATGGCCAGCAAAATGGCATTGACTGGATAGATATGATTTGATTTTGGTATGACACACATTTTCCATAGATTATTCAAAGTGTTATTATTATTCCATGCTAATGTGTCTCTGATGACCACAAAATAATATACACAACTTCCCATTAAAATTACTCTCCTCTTTTAAAGAGTAATACTTCATAGACCTAACCTACAATAAACAGGGTAAAATGTGTGTTATTCATGATAAAAATTGTATAAACTTGTGTATTACCTACTATTACCTCTTTATTTGCAAACAAGCAGCATCACTTACAAATAGTACCAGCATATTTTTTAAAGATTTGTGTTTTTGAAGGCCTAGTGCATCGTTGCCTATGTTTTATAAAGCCAGGCTTTGCACTATTAATATTCAGAACTTTGTAGAAACTTCTTCACAAAATTGTCTTCAATTTGCAGAAGGGTATTACGGAACCAACTGCTCATCCCGCTGCACCTGTCAACATGGCGACTGTAATCATGTGACTGGCCTATGTGATGTGTGCAGACCAGGGTGGGAGGGAAACCTCTGTGACAGAAGATGCACCGAGGGTTACTACGGTAACAACTGCAACCAGACATGTCTATGCCAGAACGACGGGCGATGTAACCACATCAATGGAACATGCACCTGTGCGAGTGGGTGGAGGGGTGAGGTGTGCGCCGAGTCGTGTCCATCTGGTACCTATGGGAGGGAGTGCCTGCTGGAGTGTGCCTGCTCTAATGGAGGTAGCTGTAGGGCTGATAACGGGGGGTGTGTGTGCACCCCAGGATACCATGGAACCTTCTGTGACAATCCATGTTCAGGTTGGTGATGGATACATCATAAAAGAGTATTATGAGATAAATGGTTTCAATTTTATGTTAGGAAGAATAAGTGTGTGTAACTTTTCGAATGGATTCTATAAGGTCAGTGGAACCAGCAGTATGGTGGAATGCAGCCCAGACCAAAAATACAATTTCTAAGGAATAAATACTGATGTAAATGTGGCATACTTATTGTAGATGTGATATGCAAGCCTTTTTACTTTCATTTGTAATGACGATTGTTGAAACTCTAGAATAATTTTTTTTTAAGGAAATTGGCTTCCTCTCGATTATGATCCACACCATTTTTGGATTGTCAGGATGTATGAATATATATGTAAAAATTAGTTTAAAGTATACAGTTCATATACATTCTGTGGATCAAATTATGCTGTCGGTAGTCATTCATATTTCTTCATTAAGTTTATTTCTATGTATTTTTTTCTTTCTCTCCCTCTCTCCCTCTCACTCTATCAATCCCCCTCTTTGTTCATCTCTCGATCCCATTCTTGCGATAGAAAATTATTATGGCCAAGATTGTCTCGAGGAATGTCTCTGCCAGAACGATGCTGCCTGTGATCATGTGACTGGAAACTGTACCTGCCTCCGTGGATGGGACGGTCCGCTCTGTGCAGTACGATGTCCATCTGGTTACTATGGTGATGGATGCGGTCAGGAGTGCAGATGTGGAAACCACTCCTCTGTCTGTGATTCTGAGACTGGTGCCTGTACATGTACAAGTGGTTGGCTGGGTAATTTTGACTGTTTATAAGAACTGAAAATATAATTGTATACCTGGTAGTTGTTAAATGTGATTATCATTTTCCACAGAGCATTATCATTTTGAACTCGATGCCATGTCAACAAGCCCTTATCAACAGTAAACTATCATCAATAAGTTTGAAGTCGAAACTGCTAGTATACAGTTCAGGGTCTTAGGTCTAGTTTATATATTTCATAATTTTACATTTTGTAAGTAAAATTTTAGGTCTACATTTCACATGTCATGTAATAGTTGAATTGCCTTTTTATTTGGGACTCGATTAAAGAAAACAACATCATGAATTTCAAGAAGAATCATTATGTAATAAATGAGAAGAAAAAATGAAGAAACAACATGAGGTGTATGCAAACTGCAATATAAATAGATTTAATAGCCATTATAATTACTAGAAGTATAACTTGTGATGAATTCTATATTTCTTTTCTCTCAATGACAGATTGTATTTAATCATTCAGTATATTTAAAAATCTCAATGAATTCAAACAAATAAAAAAGGAAATATTGGTAAAAGCAAACGTGGCTACAGCAGTTGTACATGTGTCAAATGATCAAAGGATAAAACAAACCTATTCTTTTTAATATAAAGAAACTGCCCAAGTTCATGAAAACATTTCATGTAGTTGCATCCATTTATTCTTGCTAAAGGATAACCATCTGGACAGCTTGTTCGCTATGTGTTTTCCAAATTTTGATGGTACCTAGATAAAAAAAAAAGAGGTGTTATAAGTGTGCTTTCTCTTAATATATACATAAACTGTACTTTCTTCAGGTGAATTTTGTGACGTTCCTTGCCCAAATGGTTACTATGGTGACAATTGTCTGTTGAGATGTGAATGCCAGAATGATGGAAGATGCGATCCAGCCACTGGAGATTGCAGCTGTGCAGATGGCTTCATTGGACTCTCCTGTGATTCAGACTGTCATGTCTTTGGTAGGAATTATCATTCATAAATGCAGAATAACTTCTTATTATCAACTCCTAAGCTGCCACATCGATCCTTGTACACACATTTACTGTAGCATTGCCAACATGGCCAGGGATATTTTGGCGTCGGGCATGATGCCATAGGGTCACAATAAGGATTGTATCTCACTTCCTTTTAATCAGTAGTTCACAAAGTCTTATTTTTTCCCCTATTTAGGGAAGAGAGTTATGCTGAATTTCTATTTATACATTGTAATTTTTCACTATTCATACTTTCTGTTTATCAATGTTTCATTTATTTTGTAAATAGTATCAATATCAAATACTGAGGCTAATGATCATTCTCAATAATAAACTCATCTTAAACCATGTTCCATGTCTTGTGCAGCTAAAATTTTTAAAAGAAGGGTTATGTTCTATCACATACAAAATATATTTTTTCAGTGAAACAGAACCAAATAGATTAATCCCACTGAATAAAATTTTGAAGCATGAAAAAAGAAAATAGAATTCATAACTGCAGAACCTGACTCTTGAAAATGGATTATGTTAATTGTTTGTGAACTTATTGATACAGAAAGGATCAACAATACATGTATTTTCATCTTGTGTTTGCAGAAGTCAGCATGTATGGCCCAGACTGCTCTCTACAGTGCCAGTGCCAGAACGAAGCATACTGTGACCACAGAGATGGGAGCTGCACATGCACGCCTGGATGGATCGGACAACACTGCCAAGACCCCTGTCCTGACGGATTCTATGGCCAGGGGTGTAACGCTACCTGTGGATGCAAGAATGGGGGCATCTGTGACCCCGCGATGGGGGATTGTGATTGCCCAGATGGATTCATGGGGGACAGATGCCAAGATCCATGTCCAGAAAGTAATAATTCAACCCTTGATTTGATTTGGTTTGATTCTCTTTTCATTTATTGCATGATAACAAATGATGTGACAGCAAATCATTAGGAATGGATGATAAAAATATATTGTCCATTTAAGGAATGCTGGATTGTGCACCTTTAAGAAAAGTACAGAGAATTTTTTTTATTTCTATATGTACCAGTAACTTGAAAATAAGTTGCTTTTCTTTTTTTTCTTTTTTTTTAAGTTAGAAGAAAAAAAAAGTGAAAAAAAAAAATATCTGTTTAAAAAAGTTTCTAGATGCCTCTTGTCAGATTCTTTAAACATTGGTAAATTGCAGCCTGAGGTCCAAATGCTTTTGTAGCAAATTTGGTTTATTTGATATTACTAGTGTAGGAGAAACATATGTCAGACCTTTATTTCGAACTAAATCACTATAAAATACATGACCAATATTTGTTTTCATGTGTATTCATCCAGATTATTATGGACGTCGATGCAGTCAACCATGTGACTGTCGTAACGGAGGCATATGCAATGGTGTAACAGGCGACTGCACTTGTGCTTCGGGGTACACTGGGAAGTCATGCAGCCAGGTTTGCCCAAATGGAACCTATGGTCCATCTTGCTCAGGTTTGTCTCATTTCCAATAAAAGGCACATCATTAGAAAATCATTGAATATTCATCTGTAAGAGGAATAATAAGAATATAAATAGTATGGTGCATGCATTGGGATTACTGATATATATATATATATATATATATATATATATATATATCAGCAGTCCCAGTGCATGCACTATATGAAAGGCATATTGAAATGCTTGCAACTTAGGTTAAACAGCTTCATGTAGTTGATGTTATTGAATACATTTACATAAGATTTGTAATCTTTCCTATGTCTCTTTCATCATCTTCTCTGAGTCTTACCTGTATATCTAAATATTGATTATAACTTTTTAGCTTTTGTATGTGATTACCTAGTGTGTCAACCTCATTGTTTGCTATTCATTCTTTCTTTCTCTAGTCTGTCTAATTTGATATACTTTCTTGTGCTTTTTTATGGGTTTGTCAATTTCATCCTTATTGTGTTGTCTCATTCACTTGCAATCATTTTTTCTTTCACTTTTTCTCTTTCTTCCTTTTCCTGTTTCCCTTCTCTTTCTCTTTCTCTCTCTCTCTCTCTCTCTCACACTCACTCTATCCCTCCCTTTCACTCTCTTGCCCTATTCTTACGGCTACAGAGAACTGCTTATGTGCAGACAATGCTATATGTTGGCACACTGATGGCACCTGCATATGTGGGGCTGGTTTCAGAGGTCCCCTGTGTGAACAACCCTGCCATGAAGGAACATTTGGAGCTAACTGCTCACTCTCATGCCGTTGTGTAAACGGGGTGTGTGATGGCATCACTGGCAGATGCTCATGCTTGGCTGGATGGAAAGGAGATACTTGCGAATGGCCTTGTGATTTTGGATACCATGGTTTAGGCTGTTCTGAACTGTGCCGTTGTGAAAATGGAGCCACATGCAACAATACGAATGGTAGTAACTTCTCAATCATTCCTTTATTTTGGTTGCATATACATTAATATGGTACTCCAAGAGAGTCCATGCTCATGAATACAGCAACAAATAATGAGAGTGTTAGGCCTTAAGCTTATGTTGCCATACCTCTGGTTTTTATTTCATTATCCATATATGTGTATTGTGTACATTGTGTTCTCTTATATCTGTTATTACTTGTTCTCATTTCTATTTTATTTCCATACTATGTATTAAATGGGATGATGCATGCCAAAATAAATAACCCAATCTGGAATAATAACCAAATAAACTTCACAATTAATTTGGAAAAGACAAACGGTGATGGCTCAGTTGTTGAGCCGTGCATGCAGTCTTTAAACTGGGAGATCCTCAGTTCAACACCATTTTGATGCACTTTTAAAGTTCCCTCATGGTATTAAAGGCGTTAATTCTCATAAGCAAGCTACACAGATAGGACCTAAAGACATAAGTCCCACTAACTTACTTACCTGCATACATAAATAACATACGTCTTAGCAGTTCAGTGCAATAAAATCATTACCAGTTTACTTTAATAGACCAAAGAAATAACTTGACAGGATTTTACTCTGAAAATATTCAAATTTTTCTGTTCATCATTTTAATTTTGATTCATTTGATTGCAGGTAATTGTACATGTGCTGATGGCTGGCAGGGAGATGTCTGCGATGGACCATGTGACTTGGGTTTCTATGGCAACGAATGTCAGGAGACTTGCTCATGTGAAAATGGAGCTAACTGTGATCATGTGACAGGATTTTGCCATTGTTTGCCTGGCTTTATTGGAGTCCACTGTGAGGTCATATGTCCAACTGGTATGTTTCAGACACGTTTATCTAAGTAAATTCTGATAAAAATGTTATATATCAAAACAGGAAATTGGTAAAATTTGTAAATATCACTAGTAGATCAATGATTGAGGTATATCAATGGCAGATTAGCTTTGGATGAAATTCTATTTCAATATATTCATACTTTTTTCATTGAAAGAAAGATTGTACTTTTGGTTATTAATTACATTCAGGCATTTAGATCCTGAAGCATATAGATACATGTAACTGTGCTATTACAGATGATCACAGAGGTGTCACAAAGTTGAGATTTAAAGAGAAATTACAATAACATGTTGACCTGGTGCTAAAAGCATATGATTTAAGAAGTCAAATGTTTTTTTTTTTATTTCCGTATCAGGATATTTTGGATCTGGATGTAGCAGCCCTTGTACATGTCAGAATGAAGGGGTCTGTGAACACACAAATGGGACCTGTTACTGCCCTGCTGGATTCTATGGTCCTACGTGTGAGCTGCAGTGTCCACAAGGTAATAACTTGTGTGCGATTTATTTGGTCTGATGTGGTTAATGTTATACGATACTTTTCCTGATGCCCATTACTTGAAAGGGCTAGTATCAGCGTAACATTTGATTATCAGAGTAACATTTGATTATCAAAATATCATTTGAAATACCAATAATAAGTGAATTTTGTCAGTCACCCCCTTGAAGCTGTATTGTTACATATTAAAGCTATCCCCAGGAGACATGGAGAATATTATGTGGTGTGTCAGGAGTGGGATTACCGTAGTACTTTACTGTGAACAATTTTTTTTTATTAATGCTCAAAGATATGAGTGGTAATTTTGAAGTCCAGTATGGCATGAAATTTCAAGATATACAGTAAATTTCATTACACCTAACACTTAAAAAAAATATTTCATATTTTTCCATCAATCACTGCCTTTATTTACCCTTCCAAATTAGTAATCAGATTAATTGATAGGAATGATATGTATGACAGGGAAAAAAAGAGTTCACATTGACAGTTATTCACATAGGAAATTAATTATATTTCATGTTTATTTACTACCAGGTTTACATGGTGCTGGCTGCCAGGTAGATTGCCTGTGTCGGAACAACGCCACGTGCGATCATGTGACGGGAGCCTGCCAATGCCAGCCAGGATGGATCGGTGCGCTCTGCGAGACACCATGTCAGGATGGTCAGTATGGTGACCAATGTAAAGAGGAGTGTCCATGTTTTCATGACAGCTCCTGTGATCATATGACAGGGGCCTGCTTCTGCGCAAAGGGATACATTGGTGACATGTGTCAGCATCTATGTCCAAGACCAGGTGAGTACTGAACAAACTGATATTTTTCGCAGGAGTTTTATTTTGGCAGTTTTCACGAATCACTTACTGATCATGAATTTAACAACATGTGTCATCATTTTTAGTGATAATTAATGGGAAAGGATGAACATTTGTACAATTAATGAAAATGTACTCATTAAAACATATGAAAAATCTTGAGACTTATTTTACAATTGATTAAAATTAGGATCATGTACATAAAGCTACCTGTACAATATGTGAAATTTGTGAAATCATTATATGATTGAAAAATCAAAATGCCTTTGCTTTTAGTAATAACTTGTATCAACTAAATACAGCTTTACATATATGTATAAGGCAGGTTTGAGAAATTCATATCAACTTCATCATATTTTAACCATCGGTACATAATAATTATAACCGTATCTTTTGAACCAGACTTGTATTTTGGCCTGGAATGTGAGGAGCCTTGCAACTGTCCCCTGGGCGGTCTCTGTCATCACGTGACTGGCGTGTGTCTCTGTGAAACACTAGGTGATGGATCAGGAGCTGCTTGCAGTGAACCCTGTGATGAGGGTTACTATGGCAATACATGCAGGATGCAGTGTCACTGTGAGAATGGGGCCACTTGTGATAGGGTGACGGGAGAGTGCAGCTGCACACCAGGTCAGTTTGAGATTTCAGCTAGATTTGAAATAATTGTTGATAGAATTTGATATACATTTATGCATATTAGATTGACAGGTAATCAAGAATGAAGATACATGTATCTCTGAATTAAATTACACATTACACCAGGCATTCACACTATTTTTCTAGTCCAGCCTACATTGTGTGATTATTTACTCTTCTAGAACACCATCGTTGGCATTTTTGCCTCAATGACATCACTTTCAAGGAGGAATGCAAAAACTGAACTTCCTTGGAAAAATCATTCATTTATACACAGTTCCATTCTTACAAATGTTATATTATCTTTTTTTTTTAGGCTGGATGGGAGAAAACTGCACAGAACCTTGCCGTCCTGGATACTTTGGTCCAGACTGCTCCTCACTCTGCAGGTGCAAGAATGGTGGCACCTGTGACAGATCAGGCCGATGCACCTGTGCCCCTGGATGGAAGGGACCCAGCTGCGCAGGTGAATGCAACCCAGGGACCTATGGAGAGAACTGCAACTCAACCTGTACCTGTCAACACGGTGGACTGTGTGACCATGTGACTGGGGGGTGTAGGTGCCAGCCAGGTTACCAGGGCGTCAACTGTGAAAGACTCTGTGATGAAGGTGGGTTAGCAGGAAGGTGAAATAGGGGATCATCCTGATGATTATTATGATCATTGCTGCTATTGAAAAGAATTGAATGATCAGAGAAATATAACAATAATTTAAATGGACATCATCATGGCTTTGTGATAGAGGAGAAGTCTTGTTTCAAAAGCCAAATCAGTGCCCTAATGCCCTTTGGCAAGTCTTTAGCTCTTGCAAAGCACTTCTAGCCACTTTCTTTTTTAGCAGGAAGAAAGATGAAAATCAGCACCACATGACATCACAAAACCCTGATGATTTTAATGTATGATTGTCAATAAATATTGTTTTTTATTATTGTTTATTGCTGCAACCATTGGAAATCAGCTGCCTTGCCTTGAGCATTTAATTAAAATGGACAATGGCACTATATAAATCTCATGTATTGTTATAATTATTATTACAGGTTTCTATGGAGTGCTATGTCAGGAAAGGTGCCTTTGTGTCAATGATGGTATCTGTGATCCCATTAATGGATCATGTTCTTGTCAACCAGGCTACCAGGGAAGGCTCTGTCAGTACCAGTGCCCAGGTAAGAAAATGATATGAAGACAAACAGAATTATATGGTTTTCTTCAGGATTGCACCTGCTTGCAGCATAATATAAACTTGATATAAAGTTATTGTGGTTTTCATTGTGCGCTTGTCAGTAGTCGATTCAATGTAAATACTTATATACATGTTAGATATCAAGCTTTATATTGCTATTATTATCACTGCTTTATTCTACTATTGTTGTTTAAATAAGTGCATGCTATATGCAGAAAGACTTTATAAGTCTATGTTGAGTTGAGTTACAAACATTTAATCTTTTGTGGCACCTGTCTTTGTAAGTATTTCATTCAAAGTGTACTTTATATGCTTTACTATTTTTCATCTCACCCCCCCCCCCTCTGTCTCTCTCCTCTGTCATTCTCCTCATCTTTTTCCCTCTTTCTATCTCCCTCTTTCTATCTCTTGCCCTTTCCTTTGTACATGTATCTCCTCTCTGTCTGTGTCTTTTCTGTCTGTCTGTCTCTGTCCGTCTCTCTTTCTCTCCTTATATCTCCCTTTCTCTTGTTATCTCTCCCTCTCTCCCATGCTCAACTTTTTCTTTCCTCTGCATCTTTCCTTTCATCCTAGTTGGAACATATGGCCGTGACTGTAGCAATATCTGCCAATGCCAGAATGGCGCGACCTGTGACTTTCGTACCGGGGCGTGTACCTGTGGTCCAGGCTGGCAGGGTGAGCATTGCGAGTACGAATGCTCACAAGGTCACTATGGTTACGGATGCAGAGAGAGGTGTGCATGTACCAATGGAGCATCCTGTCACCATGTTACTGGAGAATGCTCATGCACTGCTGGCTGGATGGGAGATTACTGCAATGTCCAATGTCGAGAAGGCAAGTTGATTAACATATTTGGAATGTATTCTCGTTTTTTTTAAACGTTGTCAAATGAAATGAATTTAGGGAATAGAATTTGTAAATCTCATTTCAGAGTAGATTTTATAATATTAGCTCCCTGTGGAATGATATTATTTAATCATGTTCCTGTTGGCATCCCCCTTTTTCTTTCCCCTATTTAGTAGGTATTTTGTAGTTACAGATTAGTTAATTTAATTACTCATTATTCCTAAGTATCATTTGAGGTGTTCACACTAATTGTACAGGCATTGCTTTTTAGTGGACCCCTCTGTTTCCAACATGTATTTCTTAAATTTGTTTTAAACGCTTATAATTAATTTGTAATGTTTTGTTGGAAACATGAATAAATTTGAAATCTTTGAAATCTATTAAGTTGTGAAAAAAGTGAGCTTCATCATTTCTGGATAAGGTATAGATTGAGAGTAGTAGCTAGTTGGTTAAGAACTTGTAGGTTCATTATTAGCATTTTAAAAAAATGTCATTTTTTTAACTCCAGACTCCAAAAATGTCTAGATTGTTTTGCAGATGAAGTGTCATGTAATAGCCTCTGTCAAGTGTAATATCTATAAGATCAAAATTCTTATGCATTTCTCCAGGATTGTACGGACTTGGCTGTAACAACACATGCCAATGCCAAAACGATGGTGAATGCAACAGGTTCACTGGGTATTGCAGCTGCGAAGATGGTTGGCGCGAAACCTTCTGCGCCCTACCTTGCCACCAGGGATGGTTCGGTAGAGGGTGCCAACAGCGTTGTGAGTGCCTGAATGGAGGCGAATGTGACCATGTAACAGGTGTCTGTAGCTGTGCACCTGGCTGGCAGGGGGACAACTGCGCCAGCTCCTGCAACAAGTGGCAGTACGGCAAGGACTGCAACCGGACCTGTCATTGTGACGGTGCTTCGGCTTCATCCTGTAATCCGGTCTCAGGGTCCTGTGAATGTATGCCGGGATGGAGTGGAAGGACCTGCAGTGAACCGTGTCCTCCCAGACTTTTTGGAACAGACTGCGAGATGAACTGTGGATGTGAAAATGGGGCCACTTGTGATCATGTCGACGGGTCATGCACTTGTAAGCCTGGCTTTAGGGGTGTGTTCTGTCAAGACATGTGCCCAAGTAAGTCACTTGTGGTTGTATGCATGGTGCATTTGTTTACTATGTTTTCATGATGTGTTCTGTCACTATGTGGTTACGGATGCAGAGCGAGATGTGTTAGTATCTCCTCTTTATATTGCAATAATAACAATGGTCATGAAAGGCATTTACAATGGGCACACTTTTTACCCAGTTGCCAAAGAAAATTCCATTAAAGCAATCATGCAGTTTATTTTCCTACCAGGTAGGTGCCACTTACTTTTGGTAAAGATTACTTGTTAAAGATACGATGTCCCATTTGCAGGCCAAAAAATGAAAAGGTTAAATTCCAACAGCATTTGAAAGATAATACTAATTTAGAACTTCTATCAAAACAAAAGGGCTTGCATATGTCTTTTCGTTTGAAAATAATGACCGTTAGTTATTGAATCAAATTTAGAGATCGCGGTCGTTTAATTAAATAGTCTGTTTTTGAGACCCCTGTTTCGAATGGTTGTACGTTTTGTGCTGCGCAAAGATTCAATCAATTTAATGTTGGCCATTACAAGAAGTGGGTTATTTTATGTATGTTATTACCAAAGAAAAAAAAGAAGTCAGTCAGTCACTCAATAGTGTCTGACAGTGAAGTCTAGAAAGTAAACAAGTTTCCTTGAATAATTTGAATAATAGAACACGTACTGCTATCGTTTAAATTTCACAGATAGGACGTACGAGACATATTCATAAATCCTGCAAAGTTCTACAAAATTTGATGTTGGGTGCAAAAGGGATAAACTACCTGTAAGGTCTCTCTATCATCACAGTTCTCACATGAAAGGTCTCACATTTGAATGTTAATTGCTGTTATTTCATCCTCAAAGGCATACAGACTCTCCATTACCCTTGTTTAATCTGTTTAAAGCGAGAAGGTCATTGAGTTATTCTTGTTTACAAGAGTTAACATCCTTCTGTCTCTTAGCCGATGATGATGATCTTCTCCCTCCCTTAAACCATGACGCTCTATCTTTAATCCAATCATGTTCTATAATCAGACACCACATTCCTTTATTATTCACAGACAACATCTATGGTAGTGGCTGTATCAACACATGTAGCTGTGTGAATGCTTATTCCTGCTCTCCTTCCACGGGCGAGTGTCTCTGTCTGCCTGGGTGGACTGGTGAGAGATGTGATCAGCCATGTCCTCAGGGTTCTTACGGTGATAGTTGTAACTACACCTGTGATTGCCTGGTTGGCGACGAGTGTGACCCTGTCAGAGGGAGATGCAATTGTTCATCAGGTGAGAATGATGGAGGTATTCACTCTTCAAGAGATTGTAGTTTGTAAGAGAGGGTAATAGCTATGATATCGGACATTCCTCAACACCATACTTTGCAGTAATGGTTCTCTCATATCTCTGCAGTTTAAAGGATGACTGGTATAGGGCATTTTCTTATAGAATTCCTCCATGCAAAAATTGTAATTGCTAGGATATGTTTACATTGTCCTAGTACTTACCTACCCATTTATATCAAACCTCAAATCAACAATCTTTTGTTGCCCCCAATAAAGAATGTATCAAGATGATTCATAAATATGTAAGCTCTGAGTAGGACCTCAGGAATTTGTTTGAAACTTCCCACAACTAGCTACATGTATATTTAGGTATTATATATTGATATTTGCCGTCTTCTTAGATTCTGAACCACTTTGCCAAAATGGAGGCACCTGCAATGGCCGTTCCTGTTCTTGCCCTCCTGGATGGATGGGAGACCATTGCGAGACACAGTGTCCCACTGGCCGATTCGGAGAGGACTGCACTCAGATGTGCACCTGTTGGAACAATGCTACCTGCGACAGGTCCAACGGGGAGTGTTCCTGCCAACCAGGCTGGCGGGGTCCCATCTGCACATCACCCTGCCCTGATGGCTTCTACGGCCAGTGGTGTCGACTTCCGTGCACCTGCGTCAATGGTGGTTCCTGCAATCATGTGACAGGTTGGTCACAACATCCTTGCAATCATTCCCTACATAATAATTATTTGCACTTAATTTGCCTCACCAATCCATTTTACTGAGATTCAGATATTATATGTTTTTGAAATAGAACTGTCAATCGTCGCTCTTTTCAATGTTAACCCATTGCTTACTGGAACCTGGTGGCTACTGTATTAAGCCTATGGGAATGAGAGAAGTCAGTTGTCAACGGGTTATGATTTGTAAGGGTCAGCCTTTTAGAAGGAATTTCCTTCCTGGCTGCAATCTTACTCCAGCTATATTCTCAATAACTAGTATGATACTTTTCTTTTGAACAGCAATTTTGGAGACCTCATGAATGTGTTCTTGAAACTGATACCCAATCGCAAAGGAGATATCTGTACTAAAATAATGTAGTTTATATTTGTTCGTAATGGTTTTGCTTACTGCTGTAGTGCTCTCTACTTTGATTGCTTACTGTTTTCATTACAGTAAAATTATGATTTTGAGCTATGTAGAGACAGCTGTTTGAATAGATATCATAGAGGAGCATCTTCTTAATATCTCTTTTATTATTAACTGGAAAAGGGGGGAGGCAATTTCTTTTTGTATGAAAGACCTGATTTAGGTGAACATGGCTGTTTTCTGCTGTGTATCGAGTAGGTACTAGGTTTGACTAGCTGTTATTGTTCATATTTCAGGTGAGTGTTTATGTGTGCCTGGATACACAGGAGAGCACTGTGAAGAAGCATGTCCAGCTGGGACCTACGGTCTCCAATGCCAGTCAACATGCTCATGCCTCAATGGTGGCATATGCCATGGAACGACTGGTGACTGCATCTGCCAAGCGGGCTGGGAGGGGGCGACCTGCTCGACCCCTTGCTCCAAGGGATACTACGGCAATCTTTGCATTGAAGAGTGTCAGTGTCAGAACGGCGCCCTCTGCAGTCCCATCGAGGGCTCCTGCACCTGTGAGGCTGGCTGGCTAGGAGCCTACTGTCACATCCCATGTGATGAGGGTTCCTATGGGCAGGGCTGTCACAAGACCTGTTCACATTGCCCACAGTATCGCTGTGCAAACACGGATGGAAGGTGCCTTGTGCTCGAGTGTGATCCTGGACAGTGGGGAGAGGAGTGTGAACACATCTGTCTGTGTAGGAATGACGGAGCTTGTGATAGGCTGAATGGAACTTGCTACTGCCCTCTAGGTTTTGATGGAGAATTTTGTGAATACGGTAATAACAACCTTTAAGAAATTGGCTCAAGCATTGTAAAATCAATATTTACATTTAGATATTTAACTACATTAACTACAAGTTCTGAAAGTGACAAAGAAAGTCACAGGGGTGTTAAGAGATTTGCTTGAAGTTTGTTTCTCTTTGATGCACATACACGAATAGTCCATAAATGCAGCAATTTTCCCTAGAAAGTTTCCCATGTCAATAATTCTTCTGGTGTTGATTTAGTGTTCTTAATGGGTGTAATACTGTGGGTCTAATAATAACAATGATATTAATAAACTGTTCTTGTATAGTGCATATCACACTATGCGCTTCAAAACAAGTTTGGATATTATTACTCTGCCTTTTAATATGATAACACAAATTCCTTCTGTGCAATTGATACATCTTTTTATAATTGATGTAGACATATCTCAAATTATAAATATTGAGGAAAATCTACAAAAAAAAAGAGATGTATGGAGGGATCTTGACAACAACACAGAAGAAGTATAATTAATGAAGAAATGATAAAGTATAAAAAGATGTAAGAATGGATCTTGACAATTAAGGATAATAAACCTTTCACTAAATTTTCAAAACTGCATTTTTCTTCCTCTCTTTTAGAATTTCTCCCCATTGATGATGATGACAATGATTCTGGGAAAATTATCACTGTGAACACTGGAAAGCGAACGGGTTCTGGTATGAAAATTGAAAAAAATTACTTTTGAATAATTGTTTTTGATTGGATTTTAATTAATTTAATTAAATGAATTTGTGCTTGTAAGCTGATAGGAGCACTCTTTCTGATTAAATGTTTAGTAGTAATACATGAAACACTGGAATCTGGATCTCAATAGGTAATAAGGTGAAGTGTTACCTTTTACTAAATTATTTTTAATAATCCTTCCACCTTAATTTGCTTCAGTGATGAGTGAAAGTAGGAAGTATAAAGGCTGAAGAGTTACAGGTATTTTGGCTTTAATAAGAAGCTTGGAATTCATTCAACATCTCATGCTATTGTGCTCTTCATTTCACCCTTTGAAAGTGTGAAAGCTGCTGGTGTTTGTACATGTATGTAATTGCATTGATTGATTTTGTTAAGCAAACATCTAAACTCCACTACAAATTGTATTATTAGATGAGAATTGGCTAAACTTGGATTAAATCCTCATTTTTTAAGGATGTTGGTCCCTCACAGTAGTTTCAAGGTTTTCAAGCCTACAGGCGGGAATTTTTACAAACGCTTTGAAAAGGTTTTTGAAGTGTCTCAAGTCTCTCTCACTACACCTTAGCATTGAAACGAGCATTGAAACGGTCAGTTCTCTGATCTTTTGATTAGAATAGGGAAAGTTCAAAATGTATTTTTTTTCATCATGACGAAAACTCGTCGTTTAAAATTGAAACCCCCATTTGACTTTCACCACCACTAGAGCTGAGATTGTGATAAGCCCTAAGTAAACACTAGCGCTGTAATCCACCCCACCGAGACCTTGATGAGGTGATAGAGAGAGAGAGAGATAAGCATGATAGAGGGGAAAGGAAGGAAGAAGGGAGAAAGAGACACATGCAGGGGTTCGCTGCCAGAGTTAAAATTGTTGTTATATCGCCAATTATGGGTCATTTTGCTTCGGTCGAACTTTCATTTTGGTCTTCATCTAAATTATTAGTGATTTTAGGACATGAAAATATCTTAAAACAAGTAAAATACTTATTTCCTACTTCTCATTTCCTTTCAGGCAGAGCCCCAGTAAGAGTTTATTTACACTAGTATTACGTAAGATGATGAAGAGTCCAGCTGCGATCCAATATCATAATCTCTCACGCAGAGCCTCAAGGCTCTGTCCAAGTTTTTAACGAGAGAAACGAAATTGGGGTAGTCATACCCCACCAGATTCCCATTGATGCCTGTGTAATAGTAGTAGCTCTCTCAAAGTTTTAACGAGAGAAACGAAATTGGGGTAGTGATACCCCACCAGATTACATTCACTGCTGTGTTATAGTGGTGGGGTATAGTTTTAACGAGAGCTTTTCGTAATGTGTTTCCAGCAGTTCCCAAAGTGACCGTGTCAGTTGCCTGTACCGTCATCATTATTGCGATCATCATAGCTATCGTAGCTGTCGTAATGTGGCGCAAAAGAAGAAAGAGAGGAGCCTATAAACCTCATGAAGAACCTCAAGATCCAAGTAAGTGTCAGATCAACTCAATTAATGTTCAGAAATGAGAATAATGTTCAATATTTTGTACTTCTTCATAGTCTTAGGTTTTGTTTCTCTTGTCTTATACACGACTCTACGTGGGAAAGTTCACATGGGCAGTCATAGGCATATGGGGCAAGGGGGCTGGGGTAATTTTTAATTTCTGATGTTCAAGCAACCACCACTTTACACTTGGGTAGTAAGGTGTCCAATTTATCCTCATAGTTCTTCAATGAGCTGCCTAAAATCCTCACATTCACGAAGCAAATTGCCTAAATTTCCTCATTTTCAGGCAGAGAAATGTGTGACTGTCCTCAAATTCAGGCAGCTAAGTGCCATGTATCCTTACATTTGGGAAGCGAAGTGCCCTAATCTGTACGTTTTCTATCCTCCCCTTGTAAACTATGGTTGTATGCCTATGTTGGCAGTATTCCAGAATTATAAACTTTAAACCAGAAACCAATTCCCCTGAATGGATCTTTCACAACCTTATCATATATCGTTTGGATGTCATATTCTTGTATTTTTGCTGCATGGGGATATGCTTTTTGTGCTGGTGTTGTTGGAGTATGTTCTTATCAATTCTTTCATTTTTATTTTCACTTGCCTGCATGTATGTGAGAGGTAGAATGCTTATTTTGTGCTTTATGGGAATATTCTTTGTTTGTGTTGAGTATCTTATTTCGTTCATTCATTTCATATCCACTCACTTACATTTCCCTATTAGCCTATGTGATGGGAACAGATATCAATGACAGCCCTGGTAATGAGCAAGTTCAAATGTCACGGATGTCTGTCACTAGTACAGGATCTTTCAATATGAGCGATGAGAGAGAGTTGATTGGCGACACGTCACCGGAACAGAAGGAAGTCTTCAGGTAAAAGAAAGGGACAATTGCTTGGAAAAAGTTCTTTGACAGATGTGAAAGCTAACTACCTGCGACACTTTCAATGTCTTTGGCACTAGTGTGTTTGAAGGAGAGGCAAGGGGAGCAATTGGCTACTCCTAACAGATTTTCATCCACATTTATAGGCATTCAGTTTTTGTCATGAATGTTGTGATTGCTCTTAGAATTGGTTAGATAGTTTTCATTGTCATCTTAATCTTAGATGTTGATATAATCAATTTTGTTTTCATCGACATCAATTTTTCATTGAAACCAATCCTCGAGCCCTGAGTCAATTTCAGTTTATGCATTCATAGTCAAAGTTCATTTTCACCTTTGTTTATGATTTGAAGGGAGTTACTTCTTATAGCATTGTTTTGATGAAGGTCATTCTGGAACAAGTTACCAATGAGAATTTCATAAATTCAGTGCTAATGCATGTACCGGTATTAACTTTGTTGCATCTTATTGATATAAATAGATATTTGTAATTTAAATATGTTGTAATTGTTTTTCGTCTAGATGTCCTGGCACGAACACTGGAATATAAGCATATTCTGTTCATTTGAATTGTCTATATATTTATATTTTCTATATGTAATGCCATTTATTTGAAGATGCACCATTTTCTGCATCATCAGACACATTTGTTGTTCAACTCTCTAAATAAATATATACATGAATAAGAATAAACAATTTTTGTTAAATGTAGAGCAAAAAAGTCAGGCAGGATCATTAAATTTATCTACTACAAGTTCTATAACATACACCGTCAATCATTTAGATACTTCTAACAATAATTGTGTTGAACATTTTTACTGTATATGACCTTGTACAATTAAATGATCAAAGTGATTTGCAGTTGTTTTCATTAACCTTATTTTGTTATTGCAATTTCACTTTCACAGGAGAACTAAAGAAGATGCAGGAGATGTGCCTAATTTAAGTTTCAAGAATCCACTCTATGGGGACAACATGATATAAGCCAGTCAGTAGCTCCAGAATATATTTTCTGTTAAAAGCCAAAAGTGCTCTGAACAGATGATATCGCAACTAGATTACTACCAGACGGAAATGGACAAATGATGGACTTGTGTGTTTAATTCCGGGGCAAAGTTGAATCTCAAACATTTGATGTGATTGCATTTAATTGACTTTCAATCGCAAATGATAAGTGCATATAAACGCTTTAAGTAATATTTCATGGTGAAAAAGGGGAAATGCATCTTAACATTATAAGTATATGTTAATATTTCTTCCAAGTTTTCTCTTCAGTTACAGTCTATTTAAGAATCAGCTGTTTGAAAACTTCAAAAGCTGCAACATTGTTTGAATAATATAGTGTTTTAGCAGTCTGAGGCAAGAAGATATAGGGAGAAATTGGCATGGTAATCAGGAGATATTTTGTTTTCCTGAAGGGTAGGTTACTATCTTCACTTCTATGTAGGATAGATAGCTTGCAATGACAAATTATGGGTCAAATGTCAGATCAACTGTGCCATCGGAAGTAGGGACAACTTGAGCTACTGATGAAACTGGGACATCTTGATACTACATTGTAAGTTGCACTTTATACATGAAGGGCGGTTGGACATTTTTTCTTTATTGTGCCTACACTATCATTGCAATAGCTAATCTCCAGACAATTTAAGAAATGATTTCATCAAAAATACATGTATCTAGAAATGCTTTTCAAAAATTCAGTATCTAGCTGACATCTATACCTGTATTTATATCAGTACTACTGTATATGCTTGCCACATAAACGTTAACATCATCTGTGTATAAATAATGAAAATTGCTAATATGGATATGAAATTATAAATGTAAAATTTGCATTTCTTACAATGTAATCATTCATACATGTATCTGTATGGGGTCATTTATCAAGGAAGAAGTAATGAGCTGAAAAATTGTTATACTCATCATTCCTTCTATTCTATTTTTGTGGAAATGGTTACCGTAGATGTCTTGTTCATGTATGCAATAAAGTGTATTAATAATTTTGAATTAAATTTGTATCCATTGGGGCAGCAGCATAACAATACATTCCCCATACCCTGAAAAGGGATTGATGCCCATGTACAGCATCACATCATATGTTTTCATTCACATGTTTTTCTATAGCAGGATGGAAATGGTTGTTTCAGTCCTTTCCAAAGGAGTGTACAAACGTTCATGGATACACAAAAGCTCTTTGTCTTTTACAGAATTTCTTCCTTATATATTTAAAAAAACGTGAAAATGTCATAAACTTGTATTGGATATCAGAGAAATCAACTAAATCACTAATTTCCCTGAGAGTTTGAAGTCATTGTTTAGTTAATGGGGATATGTTTGCATCTGAAATGTTTGTGTGTCTAAGCAGGATTATATATCTATGTGTGGATTGAAAACCTTATAACATTAACCTTTGCAGATTATAGGTGTATAAAACCACAAATAATGTGAATTATTGGCTCTAATGTTCTTTGGCAAGGCATGAATCTACATTTGCCACTCTCCATCTGGGTGATGTAGATGGGTAACCGTTATAAAGAAATTCCTCATATGCCAGAGCACCTTAGAGATATAAAGCACTATATAAATGTTGTTATTATTATCAATATCATAGTTGTTATTATCATTATTATTAATTATTCATTTGTTGATATGCGTTTTAAATGTTTCTAAATATTTAGTATGAACATTACAGGTGGCAAACAGGTGTTTTTTTTTATATAAAGAGGTAGATATGCCTAGAAGATGACATGAAATGAGTGATTTTATGAAAGACTTGATTTGTATATATGATGAATATTGAATCAATCTCGAGACCTAAAATGCATTCCTAATTTCTAGTCGCAGGCAATCATACATGTACTAAGCATACTTTGAAAATATATATCTGGATTTGCAATGAATAAATGATACATTTGTATACACATTTTTAAGTATGTATCATAGATTTTCTTTGTTATCTTTCAGAATTGTTTAGACTTAATGACTTATTTATAAACATATGCAACATAAAATATTATAAATCTCATTTCCTCAATGAAGCGAAACTAATACATGTATGTAAATAGCGTGTAAATGTTCATGATGATTTTATCATGAGTCTGAAAGAAGTGTTGATACGTTTTAAAATGACAAGCATGTGTTTGGTGGAATCGTAAGTTTCATCATTGTAACTATATTGTTTCTAAATAGCGGGAAAAACATGTGATGAAACGGTTAAATTTTAAGACAATTACCTCCAAACAATTATCCTGAATATCTCCCCTTTATAACAAATAGAAGAACTCAATCTTCCATCTGACAATACATCTGTTTGGAGCTACAAGCGAACAAGGGCGTTAACCCTGTGTTAAAGTATGTGAGTGGCTCCAAAAATACAATTCTTCCTAGGAGAGATATCTGTCTTATGGGTAGTTGTCCAGGGTAATAATAGGATGGATCCACAATAAACAGCGCCCCAATGGCAAGCCCCGACAGGTCAAATGACCATTATTGTTGTTGATGGGGTCTATTTAACCACTTTTCCTAGCATCATGATACATTAGTACATAGAAAATACCCATCAAATCTCCTTCGCTGATAATAACGATTGGAAAATCACCAATCAAAAACTATGGAACAATGGAAATCACTACACAAATTGCCAATTTGGTTATCAGTTCGTGACGTCATTGCTTTATATATATTTATCCCATTCAATTCCCTTTTTATCCCAGAAACTTGATTTCCCCATGCCTTTGCCCAAGTTATATGATTTGTATCATATTGCGTGCATGACATTTCACAAAATCTTTTATGAACTTTGAAGAATCGATGCTATTTTCTAAATATTTCATAATTATTGATTTTTATATAAGTAGTTCATCAAAATTCAAATTTGTCTTGATTTAGCTGAACAAAAATAATATCTCATTATTGCATCCTCACAAAAACATAATACTATCAAGTATCAAAATAACTTTGATGCTGGTGTGAGGAAATAAGATTATTAGGGGCAAAATAGGAAATTTTTATTATGAATGTAAAGAAGACAATTAGTGGATAGTGAGGAAATGACGTCACAGACTCATGAGTGAGTTGCCAATTTGTCTTGTGATTTTCAAATTTGTTCATGTCTTTAAAAATTTATGATTTTTTTTTATTAGTTATCCGATTTTGCTGAATATTTTTTTTATTGGTTTGTCTGATTTTTCTGCTTTTATTGAAAGTAAGTTATTTTTGGAGTTAACTCTAACTCTAACTCAAAGTTAGCCTCTAACTATGGAATTATAGATTTCATTTCATTGTTTTCGGACCACAATTTAAAAAATAAAAAAATAACTTAAATCATTGTCTTTCTTAGAGGAGTAATTTCAAAGAATTGTACCATTGACACCTTAATGTAGCACCCATCTATCACAATCAAACATTTATATTTCATTATGTTTGTATCACACTCACAATCAGTCGCTTATAACGATTATGCTAGGCATACAATGAAACATGTTTCTTCAATTTTGTAGCTCCACATGCACAATCAATTTAGGTTGAAAGGACTGTGCTGCACAACACCACACGACACCACCACCAACATCACCACCAGAATCTATACCACATGATGCTTACAAGACAATGTAGAAAGCCACTAGAAAATTGTAATTCATATCAAAGCTTTGTTTTAATTAACATTTAACGAACAATTAACCTGTTTTATATATTCACAGATGAATTCATTTACATCTACATTTACATGGAAAAATTCAATAGATGCTATGTCGAAGCTGATCTTTAACAATTGTTTATAGCAATGACATGGGAACGTTTTATTTCATTTAATGGAGTTGACGGTTTTACTAACGTTTCAGTTATTCTCAATCTTAAAAGAACAAGACAAAAGCAGTGAGGATGGGTTAAAGATATCACGATCGTTACCCATTATAGTGACAAAGACAAGGACTGGTGTCGCCAATAGGTGTTGCTATAACTCAAAGGAAAAATAAATGTTCTAACAAATAAGGGGGGGGGTTCTTGAAACTCAATTGAAATCCATTCTGCGGTTATTGCAATGAAATATTAATCTTGCAAGAATAGACCGATGCGTAAGTTCTCCAAGGGTCACAAAATAATAACTTTGTTTCCGTTTTTTTTTTAACTATCTATCGTAAACCCTTTTAACGATTTGTTTTATATTTTGTCACCTTTTTGTTGATAGTTTGGACATTTGGCTTTGGCGCTAGTATTCACTGATAGGCGATAGCCATAAATTAACAATAGACAATGCATTCATTTTTCATTTTTTATGTAAAAAAACAAACAAATTTGGATGTCATTAGTTGCAAGGCTTTGAGTAAATAATTCAAGTGCTACACTTGAGGAAGACAAAACGGTTGCAGCCTCCATGCTTAAGCCTTATTGAAGAACCGTTTGCCCACGGTCCCCTCCCAGTTGAAAGTGACCACCATTTGGCTACCGACGATCTCCCTGGTGGCGCTGTTGGTGCCCTTGGGACCGGTTAGAACCAGTTTGTTCCCGTTCCAGTTCGGTGTGACTTGAATCTCCTTGTTACGCAACTCCAGAATGTCGGGATCGACGAATGCCTTGCCGATGGTGAAGCTCATCTGGAGGAAGGGAAAATTAGATGGTAAAACGAAAAATACATTGTGAATAATACAAATTCAATTCAATTCACTTCAGGTTTATTCGTCCAAATAAAATGAATGGAAATTATACATGAGAATATGTTTTACATACAATGAAATACATATATAAACAACAAAATAGATAAGTGATACAATTATATAGACGTGCAGAACTTGGAGTAAAAATTCCCATAGTATGATTACTAACATAAATAACAAATAAAATTATAAGAGGCATGCACACAAGAAGTGTTTATCTAATAATGTCATTATTGGTCAAACATTCAAAAATACGACAACCGTACTGAAGACCCATTCTCATTGGGTGGAGATACACTCACATAATATATTTAAAAATGTAAATTGGAATTGAAATATAAATTCACATTTGTTACCTTCTCATTGACAATTATGACAATGAATCAGGGCAAGTTACTGTAATATATATAAATAAATATATATTTGTTGATGCTAAGTTTTTGTTTCCTTTAGAATCAAATATTCAAATGGATCGGTCTCAATTCGTATGATCTGGTATATGAGGTAAACCGAAATACCTCGCATTTATTAAGAAGGAAATATTCAAAGGAAAGCTGAGCAGACTTTGCAAAATAATAAAGGCATGAAATCAAAATGGTACTCATATCACACTGGGACTCTCTCTCTCTCTCTCTCTCTCTCTCTCTCTCTCTCTCTATTTTCTCTCTCTCTCTCTCTCTCTCTCTCTCTCTCTTTCCCAATCTTAGTGCGTCCTTTTCTCTCGGTCTCTTTTTGTCTTCAATCATTATGCTTAGAGAAGTTTTTTTCAATTTGAAAATTGACAGGCCTATTGAGATTGATGTTTAATATAGGCCTACTGGAAAATTACGGATGCATTCAATTAAAAAATATATACTCACATCACGGTTCCTGCCACCGCCGGCTGAAACGATGTGGAAGTTATCTCCATTCTGCGTGATCTCCACCGTGGTGCTACGATCCTTGGGAATCTTGGCTGGGTCAATCTTCAGCTTGTCCACTAGGGACTCCATGTTCTCACCATGGTCGAACGCCCACTTGCCAGAGAAGTCAGCCATTTTGATGATATGGAATGGTGTTCCTGGAACAGACCTGGGGGTTGAGTAGAAGAAAGTAGCCAATAAAAATATCATGGATATATATTTTGTTTCGAAAAGATGATAATGCCGTATGGTGTAGGTCTAATCTGACGCGACATGAATAAGCCACCTTCAGTTATCATACTTTTGTAAATTTTATATCATTTAGCACAAGTTACAGATAAAGACATTTTGATAAATATCGGATTCAACATTAAAAAGGATATAACGTCAAACGATTGACAGATTTGCATTTTAATTCCTTCCAATCTCACCAATACATATCATCGGATGTGATATTCGGAGCAGAAATAGATAGTAATAGATTCAGACTCAATTGTGGAATTGTATTAAGATAACCTCACTCACCTTCATGACATACGAAATTCTTATACGCTAAATTGAACAGGCCATTATGTATTTCCTCATTTGATGTTTTATTTTTTTTATTTTATATCATTTCTAGATTTTAGGAACATTTCTGTTCAATATTTACACATCAGCAAACTCAATTACTTCCAAACATTAAGGCCATCGTTCTAACATTCTTTTATATTTGGCTAAAAAGAAAAAATATAATTGTGCTAAAACATAAAAGGTACTTTGATATCAAGGTGGAAGATTATTGAATTTACTTGTATCAAAATTAAAATTAAAATTTGAAAATTGTGCTAGTACATTGATCCACAAAAGAAAATTATTCAAGACAGATTTAGTTTTGTACTTCGTCATCACATTGTCACCAAATACTCTTTTTTCAGATTATGAACTATATCTCACAAAAAGACAAAAACTAGTATCCATACAGTCAACCACATACGTTGATTATCAAAAACATGATTGCCAATTCTCAAACAACTTGCGGTTCTTGAATAGAAACAAACATTTCATGATCCGCATCAATCAATCAATCAGTCAATCGACCGATCAAAATTGTATGAATTAAACTAACTCAACTATTAAAGTTTTTGAATTGATTAATTAAAAAAGAGAGGAATGATGTGAAACTTACAATGTGGAAATTTTAGAAGATGAGGAGGAGCGTCTCGCTTTCCCGTTTGATTCTGGAGCTCAGCTGAAGGAGGAGGAGGGTGAAGATATGTCCTCTAAAACACCCCTTCTTATACCCATTCTAGACCTACCTTTAGACCCAAGCGCCACTTAACTTTAACCGATGTCACGTGACAACGAACGCCTCCGGTGTCTTTCATACCACGTGATCTAAATAGCTTTGCTAATGAGGAAGTGGTCGCGTAACCCTAATTTCTCATCGTCGAATCTAATATGAAATTTATAGACAATCTTGGTGTAACTACCTTGTTTCTTCTCATCCACTTGCAAGCTGGTGAAGACTTTCTATACATTTTTAGCCTCCATCGTCAAATCCTCTTCATTTTTTCATGGGCCTGCATGTTCTTTTTCGTTTTCCTTGTATCTTCAGCAGTTAGTAAATTTATTCCTAACTTTAGCTGTCTAATGTAGTTTTATCCAACTTTTCAGCTATGCCATCTTTCTTATTATAGTTCTAGTATCCTGAAATATTGCATACCATCTCTCTCTCTCTCTCTCTCTCTCTCTCTCTGCCTCTCTGCACTTTCTACATAACATTTTATATGTCTTTGTGTCTCTTTCTTTGTTTGAATCTATCGCTCTTCCACTGGCCTTCACACACACGTACACCCCCACACACACGTCTATCTCTCTCCCTGTCACTCACTATTTTCTATCTTTTTTTCCTCTCTCTCTCTCTCTCTCTCTCTCTCTCTTTCTCTCTCTCTCTCTCTCTCTCTATTTCTTTTTTTCTCTCTCTCTCTCTCTTTCTCTCTCTCTCTCTCTCTATTTCTCTCTCTCTCCCTCTCTCTCTCTCCCTCTTTCTCTCTCTCTCTCTCTATCTCTCTCTATCTCTCGCCTTTCCTCTATAATATGAACAACTCTTTCATAATTCGTGATTCATAGTCTTTACTGGTAAAAGATACATGAAATATAGTTTGAGGTCAATATGACCTCAACGGTTGATCAATCCCCGATGAATGCTGGGATACAACGTTTTTTAAGTTTTTCAAAACACTCTTCAAATAACCTATTAAGATATGAATCGACCTGTTTTATGACCCGTATATGTGTGTACGTTGTAGTGATTTGTGCGCTTAATCATTTAAACATTACTCATTCGTAGATATTTGATATACAAACACTCGAGGCAATGTGAAATTTATGGTAGCCATTTTTGATAATTTGACCATTAGAGAAGGAAGAAAAGACAATACACGATTTATGCATGTCATTAGCAGCGATAGTCACTGAAAGAAAACAAAATGCTTTGATTAATTAGAGTCGAGATAATATTTCATGAAGTCAATCCCATTAAAGTTTGCACGAAAAAAAGTCGGTGAATCCAAGACACCTTAACCCTTTCCGAAATCAAGACGGGTTAAGCATGCATGGATATTGTGGTGTAGATATAGTAATGTTAAACTACTATTAAGAGGGAGCGTTTAAAGGGGTGGCGTGAAAAGGGGTGGTATACAAGTAAGGGCTCTTGAAGGAGAAAGCAGAATAGAAAGATATAAATAAAAAGAACAAAAGAAGGCGAAAGGGAACATGGGGTACGATAAGTATATTATATTTTCAAATACACCCAGTAATGAAACGAATACTTGGGGTTCACGATGTATGAATTACAATTATTTTACATTTAACAGGTCTGAATGGTTGAGGAACTGATATAATTTTGCTTAAAATTCAAATTTTATATTAATATAGACACAGATAAACATTCAGACAGATTGATATCCTGGACATATTTCATACTGATCCATTCATCCTACCTTTATTCCTCCTTATTTTCTTTTACAATTTGCATTCTTTCTTTTCCCTCATCCATCAAAATTTCTTCTCAAATTGCTTATTTAATGTTAGCACACAGGAAACACATTTCAATATTTTTTTCTTCTTTTCATCAAGTGTATCTCAAGTATCCGTTAGATAAAATGTACCAACAGAAGCCAAAATGTAATGCATACCAACGCACACTGAAAGTGATAAGAATCTATAAACATTGTTGAGGTACAATGCCCTTGAAATGATACAGAAAGGAAAAATAAAGGTAGATGTTTCGAAATATTTAGATACATTCATTCGATAAAACAACACTTTCTACACTTACACTGCTCGAAAATGTTCTCAGACACTCATACATGCATGATTTAGATCTCCATACTCGTGAGATCTTCAAATTTTACAGACATTATATTCGGTAAGCTTTAGAGTAGACATGTTCATTTTTGGTGGGCTTGCTTGTTATTCGCGTGTGTGCCTCCCTTTCATTTTCCTGGTGATCACCTACAGTTTGTGATACTTTCTGGGAAGGATGAATTTTTATATTCAAATTGCGATTTTTGTCATCCTCGTGAGTGCTCAACTCTTCGTTTCAGCACAAAATGATGCTGTATATGGACCCAGGGGAAGTGATGTCTGTCCTGTAACGCAACCCTACGGCGTGTGTCATTACGACCAAAAGTGAGTAACGTACGTTACGTGAGTAAAGAATTAAGGGATAGCATTTGCAAATATGCATATTAAAAAGCAGCGAGAATATGAATATATCACCTTTGCCAGAATTTATTTCCAACGACTTCATTGTAGTAACTTCATCACACTCTCTAGTCTAGAGTATGTACCTCCCATGGTACATCTACCAAGCAAAGAGAGAGAGAGATAGAGAGATGGTAATATTTTTACATGGAAGGAGGCGTTACTGCGTTCTTTTTACGCACTAGTGATCATGACATTTGGCAATAAACTCTTCGAATCCTTATTTTTCACCATTAACGTTTCTGTCTGAAATGAAAATAAAATTAGATTAATTGTATATCAATTGAAAGCTTATAACCCATATAAAACAATAATATCGAGTAAGCCTATATGCTATTTCAGTCCCTGTCAGAGGAGTTACAGTTCTCTCAGAAAACCCCAAAACTAAAGCTTTGAAAATCGGAAGTTGTCGACCTGAACACTAGCCATCTTATGTGGAGTACACATATTCACATTGAATTTACATTAATTAAACCCGGCTCATCGCCTCAGCTTTACAGGCGATATGATAGGCGTGTTTAATTTCGTCGCCGTAGCTGTGGCAAATTTGACCCCAGTTGACCCACACTGTGGAGGGGTGCGGGAAATGAGGTTTAAATTTGCTCTTTTGCAATACTGAAAGGGAAAAGATTTTTCACTCCTTGATATTTTTTAAAATTCTAAACTCAATTCAGCTATCCATTGATATAAAGTTGTATTTTCATCGGTTAAGGTCTTTAACTCATAGAGATAAATATAATGAATATGCATACATTATTCGGATGTTGTCTGTTTACCTAAATACCGGCCTCAAATTGTTTGCAACACTTTCTGAAAGGCTAAATGCATTATATTTAGCGTTTTAATCATGGCAGTGATATCTTTTTCGTGTGTACATCGTAATTGAACTTCCCACTCAAAATTTAAAAATAACTGTCAACCATTATTTTTCTTCTATACTGATAAGTGAGAGCTTTTTGTTTTTAAAGCGTTACTTCAAAATTGAAACTTGTCCATTTTGTATGTATTGAGGTTTTGGCACTGTTGTGTATTTGCAACCGAGTAAGGAGCACCGTATCGTGTCTAGTAATTGAAAATATGAACAAAAAACAAAAATACACATCATAAAAAAACATTAAAATATTCAAAAAATTAGAAATAGCATAAATCCCCCTCCCCCAGAAAACAAAATCAACAATTGGAGACATCACTTTTAATGATTAATTTTCTCTCTTTTTCATTTTAATCCTATATCTAACAACGTCAGTAATGCATGCTATATCTAATTACCCATCCATCATAATCAGTTTAGAAATAATGTGTACCATAACGTTTATGCATGAATATCTCACGGTGCCGATCTGTTTCAACTGCATGCAAAAATCAGTAAAAAATCGATAATTTAAATAGATATTTTGCTTGATAGTATTTTTTTCTTCTTCTAATAACCCCCCACCCCCCCCCAAAAAAAAAGGGAGTAAGATATTGCATAAAATAATCCACATGGTTAAAAGAAATCAAGGTAAAAGATATCATGTCAGTGCATGAATGTCGCAATTAAGTGTAGGCCTGCACTAAAAACCTTTCCATTCGTTAACAATTATATTGGCTATTTAACTTTCAGTCTAGTTAATCATACCCTCTGTGAGTTAGGACTTAACACGAGTTTGGTTAAGCTTTGTTTTTTTAAACAAATATATACATGTATATAATATCCACGATCGCTACTACAACGCATAGCGTACCTACAAAAAACTTTTAGACGGCAGTTAACCGAATCTTAATTGGTATGATTATTACACTTTTGTATATTGATGGTATCTTTCAATATATATCTTAACTAATTTTTATCTATCATAAGGTTCATCTTCACACGATTGAAGGAGGTTAAAGTATCGAGAGCAGATGCGTACTATGTACGTTGTGGCTGGGCAGGAACATCTACGTGCATTCGACATAGGTGAGTTTCAGAAGCGTATGGGATTCGGCGGCACCCCTCCCTTTTTTCCGAAAAAAAAATCTGATATAATTACTATGATGAAGTACAAAAGGGAAACGTGCCACGGCAACAACTTTAAACCAAAAATGGCACCGGAAAATGTGATAATCCTGTCAAAGAATTTCGAAATCCCCCCCCCCCCCCATACTCGCGCAAAAGAGAATCCTGAATCTGCCACATGGAAATAAATTCCACAATTATTTTTCCATTTTTTATGGGATTAGGTTGCTGTTCTTTTATAATCATTGTTAATTATTTTTTATTATTTTGAACAAGAATAACTTAACGTCCATTTTTTAATGCTAAATCTTGCAACTCATATAGTTTTCGTAAAAACACTCCTGAATAGAAAGTAGAAGTCAAGAAATATTAGGACAAAAGAATGAGTTGTTATCTTACGATAAAAAGTTGCTCATGAATTTGACATCTCTTGAAAACATTTTAAATGGTTTATGGATTAAAAAACATACATTCAAATAGCAGCCAAATTGAATATACATTAAAATACAATATATTGAGAATTGGTTCGATGAATTAGAGTAAAATTGACATTAATTTACAAAAATAGGAATAATATATTCTGTAGATATCCATGTACCTCATTATTCGTCAACTGAAACAAATAAGATTTTACCTTCATTTCCAAATTTATTCAAAATGTTTATGATGGGGTAGGCAGAAATCAATTCGATAAGGGTGCGGAATAAACCGATGTCATCGAGAGAGGGCTGGCTATAAGGGAAGGATATACACCTGCTCCATACGCTGTACACACCACTTTATTTGTCTATTTTGCTCGTGTTTTTATCGTGACTTATGAACTCACAATATCCAGGTTACAGGGTATAACCTACAATATAAAAACTTATTTTTATGCAAGCAGTAAGAGGAGACTATAAATATTGTGACTTGTATAAGTAATGTTCTAAACATCTGATTGTGAACTGAAACTTGTTATGTCAATAGTTACGGTATTGTTATGAGAACGAGGACAACTTCATGTTCCCATATCAAATATAAAAAGGAGGTATTGCAGTAGCAGCTCTAGAGGTTTCGTAACTATTGACATAACAAGTTTTTCCTCAAGCCCTCAAGCCTCCTAACAATTATTGATTATAAGGTCTAAATAATGAATTTAGAGAGGCACAACTACAAAATTAGTGCAAAAACCCCAAGGCCGCCCCTCACCCCAAATTGTTTTAATATATAATTTGCCCGTTATATAACTAATGTCCCTAATTAGATTTGGATTCTGACTATATATTGAGGTACGTTAATACATGATCGTCTGTTTGGAACAAGAGGGGTATTCAATCATATTTTTTAAAAGAGAGTTAACGGCCTTCTGAATTTGAACATATTTAAGAGGTGAACGAAATAACTTGTTGCTAGGTAAACTTGTATAAATCTGAAAACATTATGAAAATAGTATATTACTAAAAGATAATTGATTTCATATGCTACATTCTTATTAATCTGTGGGATCACTTAAAAACCATATAAATGTATTTAAATAAGGAAGCAATTTTGATAGCCTTGTTCATCAACTACAATAACGTATTACGTAATCCGAATATGATTTCTATGGGATATACAATGGGCTCTAAAAATGGCCCTTCGGTTGGTTTCTCCTAAAGCCCCTTTCACACCGGATCTGTGTAGAGTTGCGTAATGTGGCGTACCGACTAGGCCTACGCCGAAATTAGGCTGCGTATTCATGAAAAAAATGTTGCTTCGGCGTAGTGCTTGCGTAGGTTATGCGTATAGGCTGGCGTAAGATGGCATATGGTTACGTACCCTGTGCATAGGCACCGCGTACCTACGGCGTATGCATTTGGCTTACGATTGCGTACAACAGGCGTAGGGCAGCGTACGCTCCACTTAGTCGGTACGCAACACTATGCAACTCTACGTATGACCCGGTGTGAAAGGGGCTTTTAATTAGTCTTTGCAATCTTGTTGCTACTTCTTTCATCCAGACCAGTATACTTCTACAAACAAGAGGTAGTTGTTGAAGAAGCAACCCGATTGGTGTCAAGATGTTGCCCAGGCTTCACCAACACAAGTGGACAGTGTGTGCGTAAGTACCAACACTTTGGTATTTGATGATATATCCCATACCGTTTAGATAATTTTTACGGGGAAATGCATTTCCTTCAGCCTCGGTCACAAATGCCATTACGAACTGCTGCGAACGCCGTACGAACGATTTTCAGACAATGGAAATTCGGGAAGACAATGGAAAAACAGGGAGATTCGTACGAAATAATCGTTCGTACGAACCTTTGTGACCGTAGCTTTATGCCTCGGTCACAAATGCCATTACGAACTGCTACGAGCGCCGTACGAGCGATTTTCAGACAATGGAAATTCGGGAAGACAATAGAAAAACAGGGAGATTCGTACGACATTAACGTTCGTACGAACCTTTGTGACCGTAGCTTTAGATGCACTAGATTGAATTTACAACATATTAAATACCGTGTATGGTTTCTTCTATAAATTCCCAAAAAAAATTAAAAGTTGTTTTTAAAGGTGTTTGAATATAGGAGTATAAACAGGCAAAACAGCGTTTAACTATGTCAACCATAGGAAAACGTGGAAGCTGCCTTCGTGAATTGGTAAAAAATAACACTTCATAAAACAGACGTGTATACCACAATTTCGTGCAAACATCTTGAACAAAAGTTGAGCATGACGATTCTAAATAATGAGCTTGTCAAAGGCTTAGTAGACATAGCAACATATAATTTATGTGAAGTGATTCCATCCGTAGATATGCCATTACGCGTAGACGGTGAACGGAATAGTTGATAACTAGGGCCTCTGCATAGCGACTGGCTTTTATAACTTGAAATACCAGAGTAAAGCAGAGTTTTACGTAACCGCCATAAGCACAAGATCGCCGAAAACGCGTTTTTAACACGCGTTTCATTTGGATGTCAATAGGGACTTTTATATTTACACGACGAGAACGTGGACCGCCACGTATGCCATCCTTTTAAGGTAATGTGACGTCCTTTTAAGGCACTACCGGGCACGGCCCAGTGCCTTAACAAGTGTTACAAGTCCCTAGTGTAACAAGTCCCTAGTGTACTCGCGAAGGTTTCCAGAAACCGGCGATGCCCATAATGCAATGCTATTGTTACACTTTTTTGAAAAAAATAATTGGGATTTCAAGTCCGATCTCATCTAATAATATCACGATATTGTTACGTTGACAGCTGTTTGCTCCGAGCCCTGTCAGCACGGAGGAAGCTGTATTGCACCGAACCACTGTGCCTGTATTCCTGGATGGGTCGGTGATGTCTGTCAAGAATGTGAGTAACATCAGGGTTTAACATGAATAAGATGTTTGAGATGTAGGGGATTTTGACCTTACTAAGAACGTGATTCGATTGGCAACGTGGATTCGATGTTCGAGGCGTATGTGACTTACGCCTCTATTCTGACCCATTGCGACGTTAATCAAGAGCACAAGTTGTTTAGTATCAAGTACAGGCGGTTGAGATGTAGGAGACTTACGACCTTTTTAAAAACGTGAGTTGATTGGCAACATGGATTCGATGTTCGAGGCGTAGGTGACTTCCGGCCTTATTTATTATCCAATGTGACGTCTATGAAGAAACAGACTCCACACCAACTCCAAACCGAACGACTCTTTGCCATACAGGAAATGTAATTTTTTTGTTCAGTCTGGTGTTGATCTGGTGCAGGTCTTCTTTGATGTGACTGAGGTATGAGATGATCCAGGCGCGTACGCAGGGGGGGGGGGTGGTTAAACCTCCCCCCTTGATTTTTTGTTTATGTGTATGTTTTTTTTTTAAACCCTCCCTCCCCTTTTGAGGTTTAATGTTTTTTTTGTTTTTTTTCGGGACAAAACAAAATTAAATATTTGTCCTCTTACCCCCCCCCCCCCCCACTTATTCAGCGGCTGGCTGAGTCGTTGCGACATTTTTGGGACCCCCCCCCCCCCCTTGCTTATTCAGCGGCTGGCTGAGTCGTTGCGAAATTGTTGGGACCCAAAAATAAAATATATGTCCTCTTACCCCCCCCCCCCCGGCTTATTCAGCGGCTGGCTGAATCGTTGCGAAATTTTTGCCCGATTTCAAAATGTTAACCCCCCCCCCCTTGAAAAAATCCTGCGTATGCCACTGAGATGGTCTGTCTGATAAATCCGCTGATGGAGAAAGCCTAGGACATGTTTTGAAGTACAGGGCATCGACATGTTTCCAGGATTTACTCTCCACATCTAATATCACACAAAATCCCTTGAACAGTGAAAAAAAATAAAAATAAAATGTTTTAAAGGCGCCCGTTCAAAATATGGTGTTACATGAATTGAAGTCCATATGAGGAATACATTTAAATGATTGGTCATAATACCATATTAATGATATTCATAACAATAAATTCGAAAAGTCCATTGCTATCATAGAGATGAATCACTTTAAGAAAATAATATTCGAAAGGAATGACTATTCATAGGCCTATGTCCTAAAATAAATTTTTCGAATGCTTATTTTTCGCCTGATTACTTATATTCTCCTTTTCCGTTTACAGCTTGTTCTGAAAATCGTTACGGCGTGCAGTGCCTGCAAGAATGTTTCTGTGAAAACGGGGGTACTTGTCAGGCAGCTTATGGGATCTGCTTTTGCCCTCCCGGTTTCACTGAAGTCAACTGTGCGAGTCCATGTCGCCCCGGCAATTATGGCAATGAATGCTCAAAGGAATGCATGTGCATGAATGGTGCTTCGTGCGATTCCGTCAACGGCACTTGCTATTGTCGCGCTGGTTTCAAAGGACAGTATTGTGGTGAAGAGTGTCAGAACGAGACGTATGGACCGGAGTGTACTCGGACATGTCGATGTCGGAACAAAGCCGTCTGCGATCCTATCGATGGAACGTGTTCGTGCGCTCCTGGCTACATTGGCGAGTTCTGCCAAGATGAATGCCGGGAGGGATCCTATGGATTGGGATGCAGCGGGATGTGTGTATGTGAAAACGGGGCAAGATGCCACCATGAAGATGGTAATTGCATATGTTCGCCAGGTTACATGGGTGTGACCTGTGCCAACGAGTGTCCTCGGGATTCATTTGGACAGGACTGTGCAGGGGTGTGTTCTTGTCAGATAGGGTATTGTCACCATGTTACAGGGGAATGCATTTGCGAACCAGGGTGGATTGGAGATGACTGCACGACCCCTTGTAGATTGGGAACGTTCGGGGGAAACTGTGAGGGTCGCTGCGACTGTGAGAATGGTGCCTTGTGTAACCATGTGGATGGTACTTGTCGGTGTTCGCCGGGATTTAGTGGAGCTCGATGTGACCGACCATGCCCGCAAGGTCGATACGGAAATGGGTGCTTACAATTCTGTCTGTGTCAAAATGAAGCTGATTGTGGCCCAGTAGATGGTACGTGCACATGTCAGCCAGGATGGCGACGCGTTTATTGTACTGACCCATGCCAAATTGGTCGTTACGGTCTAAACTGCAATAAACGTTGTCAGTGTCGAAATGGTGGATCTTGTCATCACGTAGACGGCTCCTGTACTTGTGAACCAGGGTGGCGTGGACCCCTCTGTTCCCTACGCTGTCCAGACGGAACTTTTGGACAAAACTGTGCTGGCGTCTGTCGCTGTGAAAATGATGCAGAATGTGATCATACCCTAGGAACCTGCTCGTGCACTCCAGGATGGCAAGCTCTGAGGTGTTCTGAACCGTGTGATGAAGGTTTCTTTGGCTATGGATGTCTCCTCCCATGCCGTTGCCAAAACAATGCGCAGTGTAACCATATTGACGGACGTTGCTCCTGCGCCCCTGGGTACACCGGTTTGACGTGCGCAGATGAATGCAATGAGGGATTTTTTGGTCTGAACTGTCTCGAGGAATGTGATTGTTCATATGCATTAGGTTGTTCTCATGTCACTGGACAATGTATTTGCAACCCAGGATGGATTGGTTTAACTTGTTCGACGCCATGTCCAGATGGGTGGTATGGGAGTGGCTGTTCACAAACTTGTCCTTGCCGTAATGGAGGAACTTGTCATCATGTGACTGGAATATGTACTTGTCCTCCGGGCTGGGAAGGTGAGGTATGCGAAAGCACATGCCCTAGCAACCGCTTCGGAAGCCAGTGCCTTCAAGGATGTCAGTGTCAAAACGGTGGTTCTTGTAATCACATAGACGGGTCTTGTTCATGTACTCCCGGATGGCAAGGACCACTGTGCAACAGACCATGCGCAGATGGCTACTATGGACTCGACTGCTCTCAGTTGTGTAGGTGCAGAAATGGCGGTGAGTGTGATACAGTGACTGGTGTATGCACTTGCCCACCTGGCTGGCTAAATTTCTGTAATGACCCATGTCCGGATGGATTCTTTGGACAAGATTGTCTGGGTGTATGTCGTTGCCAGAATGAAGCATCTTGCGATCGGTTCAGTGGTCGATGCACCTGTACTGTAGGCTGGCACGGTCTATCCTGTGACACCCCTTGTCCTGCCGGACGGCATGGCCCCTCTTGCTCGATACTATGTCGCTGTAGAAATGGTAACTGTTCCAGGTTTGATGGCTCTTGCTCCTGTACTGCTGGTTGGACGGGAGATCTTTGTCAAGAGAGTTGCGCCGATGGAACATGGGGCCCTGATTGTGTGAACCGTTGCACTTGTCGTTATGCAGCCAGCTGTTCTCGATTCGATGGTTCTTGTTTGTGTTTGCCAGGATGGACAGGAGTCAATTGCGACGAAGCATGTCCCGATGGCTTATATGGAACAAACTGCAGAAGCCGATGCCAATGTCAGAACGGGGCTGTCTGTTCAAGGTATAGTTGATATTTCGTACATTATTTCCTCAATTTATCTGTCAATTTTATCATCTATCTTTCTTCCTTGCTACTTTTTCCTCTTGCTCCATTTTCTTTTATTTTCCTTATATTTACAATGTATATGTAATTTATTTCTTCCAGCAAGGTATATATTTTACACGTGTAGCTTATTTTTCAGGCCCCCATGCAAACCACTTCTGCCGTTAAATGATATGTTAAATTGCAATTAGGAATTAAAGCAGATACAAAGGATAAAAAGGAAAAGAAATGGTTTCACATAAAGCATTAATGTTTTTATTGTTTCATGTAATGTTATAAAATTATGGGTTTTTTTATTTTTCAGGATTGATGGGAGTTGCGAGTGTACTCCAGGATGGATGGGGGATCGATGTGATCGAAGGTGCCCCCAAGAGACCTTTGGACCAGAATGCTCAGAGCAGTAAGATTTCATGTCATCTAAAAAATAAATATAGAATTGTCGTGGTAGAGTGGTTTAAACACTTGACTGTAGATGTGAAGGTAGCGGGTTCGAACCCTGGTGCGACACTTCTGTACTTTGGCATGGCGGTAATCTATATTTGCCACTCTCTACCCAGGTGTTCATTGGATACACTCAAATCGATAGCCTAGCATTACATACATTTCCTAATGCCAATGCCGAAGACGTTTAGTAATAACTGGGTGATATTGGATAATGCGCTGTATAAGAAGAAATGATTATGGTATTATAGATAATACGAAGAATGTTAGGTTTTACATTGTAATACACAAGTAAAGATTTTTCTCAACATAAAAAACGAGCATTGATTCAAACTAAACTTTTTTGGGGATCATCTTTTAGATGTGATTGCGCTAATGATGCAGCCTGCTCACCCATCCATGGTGCCTGTGACTGTCCATCCGGCTGGATGGGAGAACGGTGTGACCTGCCGTGCCCAGAGGATCGCTTCGGCCCATTTTGTCGGTTGAGCTGCCGTTGTGCAAACGGTGCTGCGTGCTCTAGGTATTTGGCATTTTATGAGCTTATACCTTTACCATTGTAAACAATTCAAATCTTGAGAATGAAGAAATTCTTACCGTCTTCTTTTGATCGAATGCTCCAATAGGAAGTTAATGTTGGTCTTCGAATCCACGTGTCAAAATAAGTGTTTTGTTTTTTTGAGGACTTTTTTTTTAAATAATTTGTAATCATCTGGACCTCTTGACAACTGAATTATCTCATTCCTCTTCGCTCAATACAGGTATCATTCGTTTGTAAAAGCTAGGCGCTGGTTTAAGTTTAAACCATATTCTTACATTCTGTTATAATTCAGATTGGACGGTAGATGTACATGTCCGGCTGGGTGGACAGGGCTGATCTGTGACACCCCCTGCCCGACCGGGTCTTATGGACCTGACTGCGCCCAGACCTGTCTTTGTGAACGCAATTCAGTATGTAACCGGTTCGACGGCTCCTGTACATGTACAGTTGGATGGAAAGGAGTATACTGTAACACGCCATGTGGCATCGACGAATGGGGACCAGGCTGTACGCTGTTGTGCTTTTGTGAAAACGACGCCCTCTGTACTCGCTTCACTGGCATTTGCCAGTGCGGCCCTGGTTGGACCGGAGAGCACTGTCAACTTCCATGTGACGATGGATGGTACGGTCGCAATTGCACTAGTAGGTGTGCTTGTGAGAGAGGTGCCGTCTGTCACATCCGCGATGGCTCTTGCATTTGTCCTCCAGGTTCAATGGGCCCCATTTGCAACATAGCTTGTCAGGGTGGACGATATGGTGTCCAATGCTCTCAGTTGTGTGCATGCAGAAACGGCGCAGAGTGTTCACCTGTCGACGGAAGCTGTGTCTGTCCTCCAGGATGGATTGGTGACCTCTGTGATGAGCCATGTCCTATTGGACGATGGGGACAATACTGTTCTTCCCAGTGTTCCTGTCAGAATGAAGGAACCTGTAACAGATTTACAGGTATGAATATTTCTGGATAAAGTGAGGGCATTATGATAAAAAGATGGGGAGATATTATAGTCTCGGTGAAATATCAAAATTGTTAACATGAATAAAGAGAGTCTGTTTAGATAATTATATACATTTGAAAAAATGTTTGTTTGAAAAGTTATCACTTGATTCCTCTAAAATGATAATAATAATATTCAGTTCTTGTAAAGAGCATAATACGTTATAAAATAACGTCTCTATGCGCTTTCAAATAGTTTGGAAATGATTAACCTAGCTTTAGCTCTATTTCAAATAATTGATTCAAATTGCTTTACAAAAAACGTTTTATTTTTACAGGTGAATGTTCTTGCGGAGAGGGATGGACAGGAACGTCATGCACAACACCTTGTCCACGTGGAACCTACGGTGCAGGGTGTGACTCAAACTGCGACTGCAGAAATGAAGGCTTTTGTTCTCGGTTTGATGGCTCGTGTAGATGTCTTGCAGGATGGCAAGGCGAACTATGCAGCCAGGAATGTCCTCAAGGTCAACATGGTCTAGGTTGTCGCGGCGTATGCGAATGTCAAAACTCTGCTCTCTGCGACAGGTTTGATGGATCCTGTACCTGTCGTGCAGGGTGGATGGGATTGCTCTGTGGCGAGCCGTGTTTGCCAGGCACTTTTGGTCCGGGCTGCCGTGGTACATGTCTCTGTGAGAACCAAGCTGGATGTAACGCTATTTCGGGTGAATGTTTATGTAGCCCAGGATGGACTGGACTGTCATGCGACGAACACTGCCCAGAGGGTACCTACGGGTTTAAATGTGAGAAAGAGTGTAACTGTCAAAACGAAGCCGCTTGTTCTAGGTTTGATGGAAGCTGTCGTTGCACCCCGGGATGGACAGGCCTGTTGTGTCACCTGGAATGCCCGCCCGACCGGTACGGTCCCTCCTGCAGCAACCAGTGTAGATGCCAGAATGACGCTAGATGTGACCGCTTCACGGGAAGATGTGAATGTCCTTATGGGTGGATGGGTTTAACATGCAACACTCCTTGTGATATTGATAGATTTGGCCGTGGATGTTCTGAGCAGTGTAACTGCAGGAATCAAGCGATTTGCAATAGATTTACAGGTGAGAGTTCTAAGTTAACTTCTTCGAAATAATCATAAGCAGCGTTTGTTTTGTGACTTTAATCACTATCATCCATAGGGACCAACATACTTTCTGAAAATGATGATATCAATCATTGTGTAATTAATATTGGTCAACTACTAGTAAGTGACCGTGAGTAGTAGAGTGTATAAATTCTTAAAATGTTACAAACACATTTTTGTTTATGGTAGGTGAATGCCGTTGTTCAGCTGGTTGGATGGGCCCATACTGTAACGAGCCATGTGATGAGGGCCACTTCGGACCATCCTGCCGTCAGCAGTGTGACTGTATAAATGGCGCTCAGTGTGATAGATTCAACGGAGCTTGCCATTGTCAGGCTGGTTGGACAGGAGATCGCTGTCAGACGCCATGTCCACAGGGTCGCTATGGAGTCGACTGTACACAGGTAATCTCTTTCAGCGTTTTTTTCTTTTAAAATCACCTTTCAAGTGCAATAAGTGACTGCGTGGAGTAGGATTACCATTGAAATTTTAGGGAGGTCGGAATTCCGGTGGTTCAACATGGACATTAGTTAGGTTTCATTCCCTTGACTCTCAATACAATAGTTTAGGGTTTTAATCCTAGCCCGGCACTAACATCATGTGGAAAAACACCAATACACATTTAACACTCTCCAATCAAGTGTAAAAGAGCACCTAGAAATCGCTGGGATACAGCTGATTGCAGGGCCCTCAGGAAGAGCAGCATCAATGCTGATTAAGTTGCTTAATGTAGACATGATTATAAGGGCAATTCCGTGCATTGTGACATACGGAGGTTATCCATTATATTTCATCCATGAATATAAGATCTTTTAATAGAACTATGGCTCATGGTAATGTTACCAGAAATCACGATCTTCAATGGTCGTGTTAAAAGACTATACATTATTGGATGAAACATTTTAATTCATGCTTTTCAATGTTTTTTAATAGATCCCGTTGATAAATTCAAGAACATGCATCTGTAAGTGCGTTCGTGTAATTTTCGCAAAAGCTGGACTAAGTTACCTCTTTCAACCGACATACTACCCTCAAGGAAAAATTAGACTTCTACAGACCAAAGAAAACTTATATAGATGTGTTTTGATGGCTTGGCATCCACTAGTCTAAACTGTTTTTTATGACAACTCCTAGGTGTGCCGATGTCAGAACACACAGACTTGTAATGGCCGCGACGGATCTTGTACTTGCACGGCAGGATGGACTGGCAGACTCTGTGATACACCTTGTATCCCCGGAGTATACGGACCCAACTGTGCCTTCAGGTGTGATTGTGAAAACGCGGCCGTTTGCAACCGTTTTGATGGAACCTGTAGCTGCCTTCCAGGATGGATCGGTGTGAGATGTGATGTGGGATGTCGGAACGATCGGTAGGTAGATAAGCGTAAGGCGTGATGCACTCGAGGCGTCATCAAATTTTTAATCTGCCGACATAAGACGTGACATAATTATATAAGCGATATCGTACAAAAGTGAATGGAAATGAACAATACAAACACTGCCTTGATTTAATGATGCATGCACTAATTACCTTCATATGCTTCATTAGCACAGGTAATATCGAAATAACGCTTCGTGTGCAACGGGCACTATCAAATTCTGACGCAGTTGGATGGCTTCTTATTTACATCATTTAGGTCCATGGTTTGTTTACATGGTTTCATGCTAATTTAATTTAGTGAGGATACGAATAATAAAGGATATGTTCCTAATGTACTGATAAGTCTGTGCAGTGTGTCTATTAACGTTCTTCTTTCGTTTAAAGTAGGCACCCTATTCTTCAGCATGTTCAGCAAAGCGTTATGCTACGTTTACACTATGTTCCCGGCGGCCACGGCAATCACGTGTCATGGACGTGAGACAATGCGGGGGGGGGGGCGGAATGGGCAAACGTGACAGGCCGTGTCAACAAAATTACCACGGCAGTCACTGTGCGGAAGAGAAAGCTAGTAGGCCGTAGTAAAACGGGGTGAACGCAACAAAACGTAACAGTATGTAATAGGTCGTATCAAAACTTGGAGGCGGTCTGTAGTGGGACGTTTTACCGTACGCGCCCGTTGCGCTACGGCGCAGTGCGTTCTACTACAGTCGGATACGGCGCACACGGCCTAGTAGTCTCAGGATACAATAATTGCTTTTGCTTGGGAGACCTTCTTTTTACACCGTGGGCACAAACGTGCTCCAAAGTTGCCCGGCTTCCACGTTTTATCCGTAGACAGCCGTGACAGAACGTGTTAAGCGTCTCAGACCTTGAACAGAACATGAGAAACGTGAGGGACCCCATCAGAACGTGACGGGCCGGGAGGGAACGGCATCCGTGGTAGACCGCGGGCCGAACCGTAGTGAGCCTTGACGCCTCCGGGGCAGCAGCCCCTTTCCCTCTCACAGCCCGTCACTGATATCGTGAGGAAACATGGCAAGACCTAACGAAACTTGAATAACGAGAAAAAGATGGCAAAAATCCCACGAAGGACTACATTTCGGGCAAACGGGGCTACCGTGGCCGTAGCAACAGCAAAATCTTTAAAATGTCAACTCACGAAATATTTCATAACTGATTTCATGCAAAATTTTGAATGAATTGTGTCAGATAAATTGTTACGCCTTTAGAACTTTTCCTTTTTTTGTTGTTGTAGATACGGCGTCCAGTGTCAGCAGATTTGTGCATGTGAAAATGGGGCTACTTGTTCTTCATTCGACGGATCTTGCCAATGTCTGAACGGCTGGACAGGAGCCTATTGTGAGCAGGCATGTGCACAAGGATTCTACGGAGCTCGTTGTACGGAAATCTGCAGGTGCCAAAATGGCGGAACATGTTCTGGGTAAGTCAACAGTAGATAGTTTTTATCTATTTATTTCGCAGATTTCACTGAAATTAATTAAAATTTGAACGACCAGCAGAAATTATTCACTAATTTCGGCATTAATTTGCGTCTTCTATTTTTATTTTGTGTCCTTCTTCTTCTTCTTCTCCTTCTCCTTCTTCTCCTCCTCCTTAACTTGCTAATTATTTTATCTGTACCTTCTTCTCCGTCATCCTCATGATCATCTTTTTATCTTCTTCATCTCATTTTCATATCGTTCGTTTCAATTTTCTGTTCTCCTCCTACTGCTTTATTTTCTTATTCTCCGATTCTTCTCCATCTTCATCTTCTTTATTATCATCTTTCTTTTCTGCACCTATTTCTGTTTGTAATTTATTTTTAATTTTTGTTAAAACCCTAAATGTTGGCATAGGTCGCCTTACATTTATTACTTCACGTTTTTCTCATATTTTTCTCTTAGTTCCTTTGGGTTTTTCCCCATCTTCTTATTGTTGATCCTTCAGATTTGACGGGAGCTGTACCTGTCCTTCTGGTTGGGATGGGGCATATTGCCAACATCGGTGCGATGGCAACAAGTACGGCTTGGGATGTCTTCAGACCTGTTATTGCCTCAATGAGGCCACTTGTCATCCTGTTGATGGGACCTGCATCTGCGCCGAGGGGTGGCAAGGAGATTCATGCGAAATCAGAGGTAATGCTAAAACTACCCGCTACACTTGAGTCGTCATGTGCCTGACGTAAGATCGTGTCAGTCAATAAGCGCAACCCCTTGAAGCGCCTTGTGATAGAGATATCATACAAAAAGTGAATAAATTGAAAAGTGCATATATTGTTTAATGTTCATGCATTTCAACTCAAATTTTCTCATTTTGCAAGAGCATAACAAAAGTGTTCACGAGAACATAAATTCAGTCACAACTCAAAACAATTCTTACTCAAACCTTGCGTTCAATTACTGGCGTATATACGATTTACCTTCAATAATGCGTGTAGTTACGAGGTCAAAATCGTGTGCAGCGTGTATGATGATAAGTTGTGTGCTCTTAAAGAAAACAGTTATAAGAAAAAAATAAGAAGAAAAAAAAAACATCATGCCTGCTACGAGATTTTCATAGCAAATTTAATTAAGAAACACTATTAACTCAAAAAGTGTAGTAAGGTTTACCAATGAATATTTTATGCCAAAAGTGATGAAAACCGAGATAGGAAAACAATTTATTTTGACTTGACACTTTATTATAGGTGTAAATGTTTCATTTGTGGTCGTTGATTTATAAAATCAACCTTTTTCCCCCCTCTGTTTTGAAGCAAATAATTACAGTATAAAGTATTAAAGCCTTTTCAAGATTTTCTAAATCCACAAAGGTATGTTAACCACCGTTCAAATGAATTTAAAGGGGAAAATATAAAAAGTTATTATGGTAAGAAAGATTTTCATTTTGTGAAATCAGTATAACCATTCATCATGTATTTACTATTTTTCTTCATTGAATCGCAGACCTGATAGGTTTTAGGACTAGCCAAACCATCGCGGGGAAATCCGTTACCTGTTCTGAAGTTCTAAACTATATCGACATTAAAGACCAGCGCCAGATCTTCGAGTGCAGATCTATACGGTATACTACGATTACTACTACTAAAACTGACAATAGTATCATATGATTATAAGTATTATTATTACAATGATAGTAATAAATATATTGTAATTATTATAATAATAATTTGTATTATTATTGATGATAGCAACAATAAAGAAAATAATGATAGTTCTAATAATTATGGTAATAATAATAAGAAGAATGATGAATGCTTTTTCACTATTGCGCATAGTATTCTTTTTTGTCTGCTTGTTAGTTTTACCTGACTGCTAAGAAAGCAAGTGTAAACTTGTAATTAAGTAACCAGGGGACCGACCAAGGACTAACGAATGAGAATTAATGCCTTACTAAAGGGGAGTAGTGCATCGACTTGCTTTCGAACCCGGGACCTTACGGTTACGAGATCACTGCTCTACCACTGACCTATCGCGCCTCCTATTCGGTATGAAGAGGAGATGGATGACTGAGTAAAGGGAACCCATTTCGAGTTCATTTTGGCCAAAATTAATATGCAAAGGATACCCACCCACTCAACGAGAACTTTAAATTTAACCGTTCAGGCATACGTTTGTGCGCACCGCGCACACAGAAAACCCGTTTCAGGCAATCTTTTGTTCCCAACGCCATTCACCACTTCAATGCACAAGCCCGGAGGTCTGGAACTCAAACGTAAATACTGGTCTCAACTTATATTTTGTTCTGAATTTAATTTTCGCTAGGGCTCATAATATTAAACCCACCTATATTCTCAAATAAACAGCGAGCTTAATGTTCGAATTTTTCACCTGGAATGCCATGTTTATGTTATACTGCAATCATGTATTCGTTTTGTTCCGTTTCCATTGCAACAATCACTTTCAAAATGTAACTACGTTTGTAACGATGTACATTTGATAATTACTGTATTATGTATTGTTCCTGTATTATGTATATATGTACAAAGACTGTTAATCCAGTGAAAAAAGAATTTCCCGTAAGGGACAATAAATTTTCAATTCAATTCAATTCAATTTAAGTAAAAATAATCTCTATTGAGATTCCATGCTGCGATGTTATTCAACTTGGCTTTTAATAAACAATATTTTAAATGCATTGATCATGTCACCTTTATCCTTTTTTTGTTTTATGAAAGTAGAGGGATTGTTATCATTATCATTATTGTTATTATTGATATTATTATTATTATTATTATTATTATTATTATAATAATATCGTAAGGATAGACCAAAGACTATGAACAAGAAAAGAGGTGGTGGTGTTTGTGTATATATCTTAAAATCTATTCCATACACATTGCGACATGATCTAATAAGTAATTCATTGGAAGGTATTTGGTTTGAAATGTTTCTTAATCATGAACAAGTATTGATGTCTTGTATTTATAGACCACCAAATGCTGATGTATCATATTTTAATAATCTATTGGATGTATTAGAAAAGGTGTCACAAGAAAATAAGGAACTTATAATATTAGGTGATCTTAATTATGATTACATCTTAGACCATAATTTATGTAATAATCCAATTAATTTGATTGAAAACTTATTTCTCATGACACAATTAGTGTTGAAGCCTACTAGGGTTACAAGCAATTCTTCAAAATGTTTAGATCATATTTTAACTACGATACCTGAAAGACATGCTGTCACCAATGTTGCAAAGATTTCATTAAGTGACCATTATCTCATCTATACATGCATAAATTTTTCAATGACCAAACATAATAATCACAAAGAGGTTACTTTTCGTGATTATCAACGATTTGATAGAGATGTTTTTTTACAGGACTTAAAAAGAAGCTTTGATACCAGTAATCTTGATTTTGAAGATGATACGTATAATATTGATGAAAAATGGTTTAAATGGAAATCAACTTTTACTAAGGTATGTGACAAACATGCACCTCTTAAAACTATGCGTATGAAACAAAGATATTGTCCCTGGATTTCAAAAGAATTAGTCCAATTGATTTATAAAAGAGATTTTTTAAAGAGGAAATCTAATATCGACCCAGCAATAAAAAAAGATTATAAATGCATAAGAAACCGTATTACTAGATTAAGACGTGATAATAAGAGGGATTATACCAAGGATGTTATTCGAGATTGTAAAAAAGATAGTAAAAAAATATGGCGTGAGCTGAATAAGATCACCGGCAGGAAACGTAAAAATGATGTATTGCCTAATGAATTAAGTGCTGATAAATTGAACAATTTTTTTGCGTCAGTTGGAAAAATGAATAAACCAAAAAATGACGATTTTAGCTGGAAACATCCAGAGTGTATTTATAGTTTTGAATTTCAAAGACTAAAGGAAAGTGTTGTTTATGAATTGTTATGCAAATTAGGAAATGTAAGTAATCTTGACCTATTTAATGTAGATTCTAAATTGCTTTGTATTGGAGCATCAGTTCTATCTAAACCATTGGTTTTACTATATAATGCAAGTCTAAGAAATGGCTCAGTTCCGTCTGATTGGAAAATATCAAAAGTAACACCTATATATAAGGGTAAGGGAAAAAAAGATGATCCAACCAACTATAGACCAATATCTGTAACCTGCCATGTAATTAAAATTCTAGAGAAAGTCATCCAAAAACAATTATTGAATTATCTTCGCTTGAATGAATTGATTTCTATTGATCAATCAGCTTTTCTACCCAACCATTCAACCAATACATGTATTCATAGAACTATAGATGATTGGCTGGAATCTTTTAATGAAAAAGAATTAGTAGCTGCGTGCTTTTTAGATATTTCCAAATGTTTTGATTCAATTGACCATAAATTATTACTTAAGAAACTACAATGTTATGGTATAAAGGATGAACAGTTGAAATGGTTTAGTAGTTATTTGTTTGAAAGGAGACAAATGGTTTTCTGTCATGGTATACTCTCAAACTCAAAGACATTATCAAATGGAATACCCCAAGGGAGTGTCCTCGGACCAATCTTATTTCTACTTTTTATTAATGATATAGCTCAGTCTTTGAAGACATGTACCTGTAATATGTTTGCTGATGATGTTGTTATATATACTTCTCATAAAAATATTGATGAACTAACCATATTGTTACAAAATGATGTTCATTCAATACATAGATGGTATACTCAGAATAATTTAAAAGTTAATGCTGAAAAGACCAAAATTATGCTTTTAAGTACACGTAAAGCATATAACTTGAATATATACATGGATGGAACGAAAATGGAACAGGTTCATAATTTTAAATATTTAGGGGTGGAAATTGATGAACACCTTACTTGGGATATTCATGTTAAAAGACTTACCAGATTGATTTCTATGAAACTGTTCTCATTACGTAATATGTCCAAATTTTTAGATGTCAAATCCTTAAAGCTCATGTATAATACAATTATTTTACCATGTATTGACTATTCATGCACAGTCTGGGGAAATTGCTCAAGGCAAAATAAAGAGTTACTCTTAAGATTACAAAAGAGAGCAGCACGTATAATTACATCCAACTATGACTATGAAAATGTTAGAGGTGATGATTTAATAAAATTAATGAAATGGCAATCATTTGACGATAGGAGAAATTATTTTTTAGCTGTTTTAATGTATAAATCTGTACATGGTATTGCACCAACACATCTGTGTAATGCTATTGAAATGGTCTGCGATAGACATAACTTAAATACTAGAGCCGCTGACAAAACAAATGTAATATTACCAAAACCTAATCTAGAATGCTTTAAGAACAGTCTTATGTACTCAGGAGGAGTTATCTGGAACTCATTACCTATTAACTTACAAAATTCTACATCTATTTCTTCATTTAAATACCTTTATAAAAGATTGTACTTTCATTAATGTTGTAAATAACCAATATCCTCATGGATGTGTGTATATATATATTTTTTTACCCTACTTTAATAAATACAAGTTTGTGAGGTTTTTTTTTTTTTTTCTTTTTCGTACATTGTTTCAAATCATTCTTTTTGTGATCCTGGGTAAACCTTTGAATGTAAATATATGTATCCAGTTGCTGGTTATTTTATAAAATGTTATATTATTCAATATTCATTAATCTATTCATGTTTTGCATATTTCAATGATATTTGTATTTCATTGATATATTGTATTTCAATGTTTGTATTTTACCATGTATGTATATACAGGACCAATATGAAAAACAGCCTTGGTTGATATTGTCATCCTGTATAAATATTTTTAAATAAATAAATAAAATAAATAAATAAATAAATAAATATCATTATTATTATTATTATCATCATCATCATCGTTATAACTATTATTATATATTTATTTATTTATGTGTTTGTATACCTATATATTTACTTATTCATTCGTTCATAATAAAATAAACATCATGAACGTATCAAAATATTAGGAATAGGGAGCGTGTCACTGTAATAACATTTCGTCACTGAAACGTAGGTGGAACAAATTGGAAGCAGGAGTTAACTAATTTAGTTATTTTATTTGCAAACTGTTAATGGTAGCTGAAATAGCTATCACCTTTATTAACTGTTTATGCTAGCAAAAAGAGTCATTATTATCTTATTTTATTTCTATACAGTGTTGATAGGGAGCGTCTTCCTAATGGAGTGACTTGTCGTCAAGTATGGATGGAACATTCTGGAAGCAGAAGTGATCGCTATTTCACAGCTCGCACAGATCACACAAATCTCTGTATTAACATACTCCAAGCAAATGGCATAAGTCCAGAATCTTATAATTCTACGCTTTCGGTAAGCAAATAGAGTTCTGTGTATGTGGGCGTCCGCGAGCATGTGTGTGCGTGTGTGATTGTTTATTTGTTTGTTTGTTGCTTTAAAAACAAATTATTTGGACTGCATGTAACTAAGAGCACCGTGGTATATTGGTGAAGGGTCTTAACTCTCATACGAGTCCCTACCTTCTAAAATCTGCATTATTATGTCGATCACGAAAAGTTGACGTCGCCTAATTCATACGCTAATCATTGGGTTCAAGATACCCCTGTTCATCCGTTAATAAGGAGGAAAGGTCATACACTGAACCTAAGGGTAAATACCTTAACCTTAACCCTACCCCACGTGATTAGAGGAAAAATATGTGTTTAAGTGTAACTATCTCAACCCCCCCCCCCCCCGTGCCCCTCCCCTGTTTCAACAAACGTGACTAATGTATTTTGTACTTTGAGGAGAAAAGATTTAAATTAGCGGTGATTTCTTCAAAACAAAATTTTACATATTCATGGCATTTTTTAAATTATATCAATAGTAACTAGGATTTGTTTCGCATATTTTTGACCAATATCCTAACCACCATCTTTCTCTCTTCAACCACTCCCCCTCCACCTCCACCTCCACCTCCCCACCCCTCTTCCTCTCTCTCTCTCTCTCCCCCTCTCCTCTCCCCTCCCTGTACCCGCTCTCTCTTTCCCTCTCATATCTTTCCCTGTTTCACCTTCTCTCTTTCATGCTGCCTCTTCTATTTTCATTCACTCTCTCTTTCTATCTTTCTATCATTCTCTTTCTCTCTCCATCTCTCTATTTCTCTCTCTCCATCTCTCTCTCTCTCTCTCTCTCTCTCACTCTCTCTCTCTCTCTATCTATATCTCTTTTCTTCCTAGGTCGAAGTGTGGTATACCTGCTCGCAAGTGTCACAGTCCCGCACCCAGTGGTTGTACGGGGAATGGCTGGAAGATGTGATTCGGGACGTTGGTTATACCGATCATCTTCGCTGTATCTTACCAGAGGGATATTTTAAATAATTGAATTTGATTTGAAATCTATTATTTACTTCACATTATCGATACAATACGATAAACATAAATAGAAGGAGGCGAAAGGCTGGAAATCAAGGCTTGTGATAAAACAAGTCACTGTAGGAACATGCTAATATATATTACGTTTCTTGCGTGTAAATTAGTAAGGAATCGATTGCAGAAAAGAGAGTACAGAAAATGGATCGTAAAAAAGGGAGAGAGTTACATTGGAAGATAAGTTAATTTAAAAATGAAATGCTAATAATTACAACTTCGACCCACCTACTCTGTTACGTCGATTGGCGCCTTACATCATAAACATTCTTTAGAAGAAAGATCGATTTTTTTTTCCGCGGATGATTTGGTGATCCATCGGTGCACGATGATTAGTGGCCATCCAGACAAACCATCAATTTAAATGGAGGCGCGATGGCTCGGTGGTAAAGCAATGGGCTCGTAACCGGGAGGTCCCAGGTTCTAAACCAAGTCGATGCGCTAGTGCCCTTTAGTTGAGTATTTAGTCCATCGGAGAGGATCCAAAGCGGTCGGTTCCTTCTTTTCTTAAATTATAAGCATATAAACACATCCTTACTTAGCAGACAGTTAAAACCAGACCAACCAACAACCATCAAATCTCTATGGATAGATATCGATGTACATTTTTTCACCCATTGAACTTTTTAGAGATTGATATCTCTTCCATCAAAATGTATGACTCCAATAGACACCCCCCTACCCTAACATGATAATTCTAATGTCTGAACAGTAGAACAAAATCATGTTAGTTTCAAACTATAAATATATCAACCCGAAGAAACAATACATACATTCTTATGTACCACGTAATAAACCTTTCGAACTGCTTCTATTTGTTTTTCTTCTTCAAAATGATAATGATCATTATAAACCTGTGATCAGTTTCGAATGACAGGCTAATTGTTGTATTCAAGGCATTTGTATCCGGCGAGGGGGTGCTCCGCTTTGCGTTGACTTGTTTTTCCAATCGAAACAAAAAATCATTTCAAATTGTTCACCGCATTGATTGATTAAAGAGTGGCAATTTCAGTTGTATCTACGAAATACATTGTTTGAATGAATGTTTTCTACATGGGATCATTGATAGTCACGTACTTTCGTTAAACAATTAAACATTTTGTGGTCTGTAATTTACGTGTCATTTGAGCAAATGTGTGAATAAAAACAACGCATAAATGGGGTACAAGAGTGTACAAAAAAATTCTAAGTGCGGAAGGACATAGAGAGAAAACTAATCTTTTAGTGGATTGATGAAATAATACATTCTTTTTTATATATATACAAATTAGACTTTGGAAATGCAATGGACTTCACGGTCTCGAGGGATTAAGATTTTATTTAGAGCGACGTGAATGATTTGTATTTGTATTTGCCATGTATTTAGTTATAAGGTCGTGTACAACTTTGATCATCATGTATATGTCCTATGCTCGATCTTTTATATTTCACCTAACCATATATAACAAAAATAAGTATGCGATTATGAAGTAACTTTCCTACCCTGCTTTGAAGTTTTGTTAACAAATGAAGATGTGCTTTAGTTGCACACTGCCATATTATATAGGCTTCGTACAAATTGGGACTTCGCAGGCAATAAATCATTTCCTGAGTTCAAATAGCTCAATACTTAGGAAGTAAATCAAATACTAACTTTAAGAATTTTCCGAATACATTAATTTTGCTCAACATTTTAATTCTACTTCAGTTGCCTTGAATAAAAACGCCAAGATTATATATCATCTTCCACGTTTTAAATTGTCATTAAAAGTTTTCAGATGTATTTGTGAATTGCCTTCTTATATAAATCTACCGATCGTGTCGTAAGTAGACTCTAGACTTTAATCCGCTAATGTTACTTTACCAATACCATGGGCGTCAATCCGGGGGGGGGGGCACAGAGGGAACACGTCCCCCACGATTTGCCTAGGGGGGGGGGTGTTACACCCACAAATGTAATAACGCCCACAAATGTAATAACACTTTACCCACAAATGTAATAACACCCACAAATGTAATAACACTTTACCCACAAATGTAATAATTTCACCCACAAATATAATAACCACTTTACCCACAAATGTAATAATTTTGAATCACCCACAAATGTAATAATGACTTTACCCACAAATGTAATAAATTTCAAGTGATATTTTGTTGAATTTGTTCAAAACTAAAACCCTGTAATAAAGCATGGGTATAGCGCGCAGTCTTTACTCCAGACCCGGTTATTTCAAAAATTTAAAACATCTTCAAAACTAAGACCCCATAATCCTTTTCCTGTGGAATAACATGAGAATTGAGCGTAGTCTTTCCTCCAGACCCGGTTATTCAAAAGTAAAAAAAAAAAAAAAAAAAAAAAAACTTTTAAACTAAGACCCGGTAATAAAGCATGGGCTTAGAGCGTATTTTTTCTTCCAGACCCGGTTATTTCAAAACTTTTGAAAAATCTTCAAAACTAAGACCCCATCATCTTATTCCTGTGGAAGAACGTTGTTGTTGTTGTTGTTTTAGTTTTAAGGGCGTGTGTCATTCAATTATGAATATTTACGCCATTCAATTATGAACATGAGTATTGAGCGTAGTCTTTCCTCCAGACCCGGTTATTCAAAAGTTTTTTTTTAAATAAAAAAAAAAAACCCTCCATCTTCCAAATTAAGACCCGGTAATAAAGCATGGGATTAGAGCGTAGTCTTCACTTCAGACTCGATTATTTAAACAAAAATGAAAAATCTTCAAACTAAGACCTCACCATCTCATTCCTGTGGAAATTCAGACAAGGATTAAGAGTAGAGAACGGTACAACGCATCGTCTTCTTTCTCTAATAATTTAAGGAAACATCAAAGCTTCCGCGCTTCGCGCTAAAGGGGCAAACTGAATTCAGACAATTGGGCTTAATAAGAGTTGAAAACGGGGATGGGAAGAACTGAATTCAGATAAAGATTAGGAGTCGAGAACAATACACCAGATCGTCTGCTTTTTCTCATAATTTAATGAAACGTCAAAGCTTCTGCGTTTTGCGAGGGAGGGGGAGACACTGAATTCAGACAAGGATTAACAGTCGAGAACGGCACAATAAATCGTCTTCTTTTCGTAATAATTTAAGAAAACGTCTAAGCTTCTGCGCTTCGCGCGGGAGGGAGACCTATCACCCACACCCTCCTAATGAGCGCGCTTCGCGCGCTCTTTAAGTGATTCGCTTGCTCACCACCGCCCCTCCCTAAAATAAGATCCTAGCTCCGCGCCTGCATTAAAATAATAGCTATGATGCTGACTAAGTTGACGAAATAATTCGTATATTCATGTCGTCGAGGAAAATGACCATTTGCGCATACGCAAGTACTATAGATAGTCCATGTAAAAAAAACAGTTTAGCCTTCGGCCCCGGGTTTATAGGGTTAAATTTGTAGATATTGGGACATTTAATTTTGTGAACAATTCAGTATCATTCATCGACTTTCTATGCATGGGTTCATTTTAGCGGCCTCTTAATCTCTTCTATTTCAAAATAACTTTATGAGCAGCAGAAATACAATGTTTGTCTTGTTTTGAGGTGTGCTTTGAATACTGACTGTATTATTGAAATGGAGAAGAAACTGTATGAAGGGATGTATTATTTAAACATTAGTGGCATGGCTTACGGGACAATGGAACCATATAGAATATAACCGTATTAATGAATATCATTGGTAATGTACTACTATAATACTGAAAAAGGATTAGAATCAAATCAGAAAAGTCCCGCAAAGTGATTTACATGAAAGACTTTTTTAAATAATTATTTCATGGGCTATTACAGTTGAGCTACATCGTACAATGAGCATTGGGTTGGCTGCCCACAAAATTGATGTTATTGTCATCGACATTACTAGCTCTCACGGTTTTCCTTCCGGCAGCCAACGATCTGTCGTCAAGGCTGATCTGACAGAAATTATATAATTGTGATTTTGGTTTCAATGAATAAGCAACACAAATAGAGACGGGGCTGAATAGAGGCGTCATAGAGTGTGTATAAATACAGATCAGTCCACATAATCTTGATCTGTATCAGGTCACTTCTAACCAATCTGGTAGCCATCTCTCTTCAACTGCGGTAAACAGCGGACATCATGAAGATTGTAATTCCTGTGTGTTTGGCTCTTGTGGCCTTCTTTGGGACCGTGTGAGGAACAATCATAATCATAATCTTAAAAATCCTAAAATTCCAATATCGGCCCAGCGCTCTTAACTCATTAGCATCTTAACCGCCCGAAACCCCCCTCCTTTTACTCACTGAACTGCCCGAAACCGCCCGTCCATTTTCAATGCGCTATAGTATCCGTTCTTGGGTCTACCGTGATAATGTTATAGGTGCGTAATCCTTACGATGTCTGCAGAAGGATTCTGCATAGAAAAATAGCGCATGTTTAATATTGTTCAGAACAATGTCAAAATGAAAGCAATATTGCAACATCTTCCAGTGAGTAATAGGCCAATTTTACAATATCTCAAGTTGCTAATGGCACCCCAGGCCTGTGGCACCCAGACGGATTATTATACCCGATGGTCCTAGCAAACAGAGAGTAATCATGAAATTAAGCAAACTACTACTAGGAAGAAGAAAATGAAGAACAAGGGGGAAGGAAAAGAAATATTTCAGCGATATCAGTAATTATTTTCTCTATGATCGAGGCAGGGACTTGAACATTACATGTACATACTCCGTGGCAAGAAGGAAATAAGCGAGAGAAAAGAAGGGCAATGACAAGAGAGAGAGAGAGAGAAAGAGTAGCCTATGGCCCGGGTTCAAATTAAGTTTTCTTTAATTTATTAGACCCGGTACTGATGATCATCTACATTGTATTTACCATATGATTGCCATGTGTCCGCTACATCGAATAGTACCTCATTTTTGTTTATTTTTGTGAAGAACTTATTGGCTTGCACTTGGTAGATTGTCATGATGTGTTTGATCTTGTTATTGAAAACAAGGTCAAACACATCGTCATAATCCACAGGGTGCAACCAAAATTTCTTAACAACAATTCAAATTC